TTATTTAATTACTTTGTCCGGCTAGAATTTTTAGATTAGATTAAAGGAACACCCTCCCTGGTAACGGCTGAACTAGTTAACCACAAAGATATTTAGGTAAAATACTTTCATAAAACCCGTCTACTTCCCCCACCAGTAGACTTGTTCAGCTAAAGGCATAATGTAATGTTCCACTTTAGTAAATAAAGACTTAAAAAAAACACTACCCCATCTGTGTAGTTACCGGTTACCTGACATTCTACGCTTAAAATAACCCATCTATTCCCCATAATTGTTCGATATAACTTACCTCTCACCCGCTGGTCGAGTACACAGCAGTATATATCCTCCTCCATCACTCACCGCGTGGATACTATTTCACTCTGGCCGCAAATTGCCTCAAATCACCTACGTTGTTCATAAACATATATAGAAGAGCAACTGACCGTAACACCCGTATAGCGATCATCACATAACGTGGGAACATTAGTAGTACTGCTGTCAAAACATAGATGGCGCCAGGACAAACGGTAATTCCTATGGACTCGCCTAGTTATGCGTAGGGAATTGAGCTTCAGCTGTTTGGTCCCGCCCCTCAGCTGTATTCACCTAGTTGTACTCACCTAATTTGTGCTTGCAGGGGTTGAGCTTTGGTTCTTTGGTCCCGACTCTCAGCCGTCAATCAACAGGTGTACAGGTTCCTGAGCCTATTGGGCTCTATCACATCTACATTTGAAATTGTGTATGGAGTCAGCCTCCACCACATCACTGCTTAATACATTCCATTTGTTAACTACTCTGACACTGAAAAAATTCTTTCTAATATCTCTGTGGCTCATTTGGGTACTAAGTTCCCCTTGTTCGTGTTCCACCCGTTTTAAAGAGCTGTCTTTGTAACTATCAAAATGCATATATCTTTGCTTTCACTTCAGTTATATTTATGACAAGGGATTTAAAATTTGCCTATATTTCTGCTTCTCTGATGACATTAAAAACTTTCGTTTATTACAGTATCTACATAAAATTAACATTTATCTTCATTAGGTTGTAGTTCTCATCAATAGGGAGAGCGTCGGTAAAAAATAAAAAATTGTTTAAATATAAATATCTTTCCTCTCTCAATAATATGCCCGAAACGCTATGCGTACTAGTGGCTTTAGGTATTGTATGTACTAGCTCTATCTATAAATCCAATATTATGTTTGTAAATCGACTATTTATGTACTTTCCTGAATAAAATGAACTTTACTTTAATCTAATCTCTGTGAATAAAACTGTGAACGACTTTATCTATGCCTTTTTGATAACATATACAATTATAAGCTTTATTAGTGAATCTCTATTAATTAAACAATATATCAGAGTGTGTAAGGTTCGGTGTTCCATGTGCGAAGAGACATGGGAGATTTTACATCAGTGCAGTAAATGTTTTAAGTAGCGAACGCATACTAACGAATAACGATTAGTATAGACCAACACTATTGTTCTATGAAGTCGATTTAACTTCCAGACATGTATTTTTCAATAAGTCTTAAATATTTTCTGGGTAGTTATGTTAGATATTATTAGAAATACGTATTCTACTTGTTAATATAATAAACTAAATTTGCGATTATTTAAGGAGAGAAGTGCGACGACTGGATCACTGTGTACAGAAGGTTGATATGCCAACAAACACTTTCCAGACAACAATATATCTTGGATAAGTCGCTCCACAACATTGACACCTGGACCGTTGACTTCCTATGAGGCCACATATTTACTTATTTCATAATGGAAGTATATTATTTTATAGTAAATATATGTTTTCTCCTGTTCTGCATTAAGCACCAACATTATAGTGAATAAATATACCATATTTCTTAATTATTTAAGTAATGCTAGGAGGCTTTGAGTAGCTTTGGGTCATTAACGATTCAACGATTCGTTGAACAACGATTCGTCAACGATTCAACGAATCGTTAACCATTTAACGATTCTTCGCGGCAGGGGATCGTATTCCAGGGACCATAGAATCAATAGATGGGGCGAGAGTCGTGCTATCTCTCGCCCGAGCGAGAGTCGAAACTTATTTTAGAATTGATATATCTTTGTCCTCCAACAAGATATATTTCCTTTGGTGCACTCACAATAACGAGCATATCTCTGTCTTTCTGAAGGCATATAATATTTTAGGCTTTATAAGCGTATCTTTGTTAATTACACACTATATTGGCAAGTGCGTAGGCTTCTGCATACCATGACCGACAAGCTACTGAATGCCACTATAAAAACGTATGTATCTTCACTTGAGCTTTATATATGTCTATGTTAAAGTATTTAAAATGAAGCTTATATTTCTATCTTTCTTGAGACATATAAAACATATGTGTTTATTAACGAATTTACGTGAAATAAGCATTGTTCTGAGAGAGAGTTGCTCTGTCGATCAGTCTGTGCGGGGTCGGAGCTCGGCGATTATTAAAACACATGTATCTTCATTAGAACTTTATATATATCTATGGTAAAGTATTTAAAATGAAGCTTATATTTCTATCTTTCTCAACACATATAAAAACATTTGCGTTTATTAACGAATTTACGTGAAATAAGCATTGTTCTGAGAGAGAGTTACTCCGTTGCTCGATCTGTGCGGGATCGGAGCTCGCCGATTAGAAAAATACACGTATCTTCGCTTTAAATACAAATATGCCCATGGTAAGGCATTTAAAATGAAGATTATGTTTCTATCTTTCTTGAGACGTATACAAATCTTACGTTTATTAACGATTCTGCGTGAAATAACCATTGTTCTGAGATGAATATTGCGGATTTCCGGCTCTACGACCGATGAAAAATGCAACTTTTATACAACTACAAATATCTTTAGTTTTACTTTAAATTTTGTCCTGAAAGAGTTTTCATATATAGATCCAGTTTCTGGCGTTCTTCTGACATAAAAAGACCTTTGGTTTAATAAGTTATTAAGATGTTTTCAACAATATTACACACTATTCACCGATTCTAACATGGGCGTTCACCGATTCTAACATGGGCGACCCTTTTGGAAACGCAACACATGGGTTGACCTGATTGATATATGGGTCAGATTCCATTAAGGTTCGGAACATATATACATGTTGTACTCACCTAGTTGTGCTTGCGGGGGGTTGAGCTTCGGCTCTTTGGTCCCGCCTCTCAACTGTTAACCAACTGATGTACAGATTCCCAAGCCTATTGGGTCTACCATATACCAGGGTCCCGGCAGTACAGTCGGTTCGTTCTCGACGCACAATCGAGAATTCCTGGTTCGAATCCAGGACGGCATAGAAATTGCTAAATGCATTTCCTGTCACCTAATGGGCCTGTTCATCTAGTAGTAAATATGTACTCAGACGTAACTTGCTTAGCTAAATGAATGGTGGGGTTCAGTCCCTGAGCCCATTATGTGCAGAGCTCTGTAACCCTTTCCGCCGGTCCGTCTAATTACCACAAGCTACCACAAACTACACAAACTTCAGAAAGCTTCCTGGCAATACGTTAGTAATGAATAAATATGATATATTTACTCATTATAATGTTGGTGCTGAATGTACAACACGAAAAAACATAATTTTAATCTGAAAAAGTATCTTTTTATAAAGAAATTAGACGAAAATAAAAAGCTGGTGACGCCAAATCAAGTCGACGATCCAAGCTTCGGTTAGGTTAGGTTAGGTTTGGTTAAGTTAGGTTAGGTTAGGATAGGTTAGGTTAGGTCAGCCTAACTTAATATATCATATTTATTCATTACTAACGTATTGCCAGGAAGCTTTCTGAAGTTTGTGTAGTTTGTGGTAGCTTGTGGTAATTAGACGGACCCCTTTCCGCTACCGCCCACAAGATGGGTATGGGATGCATAATAAATGAACTAAACTAAACGTTAGTTGGCTTGTAGGGTTACATCCTGGGTGGGGTCAGTAATTCCACCATAGTAAGTAATGAAATTACGTTACACTTAGCCGAGTTAAACTTTAGTAGCCATTTTCTAGACCATTCCTCCAATTTATCCAGGTTGTCTTGTGGTCTGTCTATCTTCATGTTAGGCCTATATCGAGGTCCCCCCCCCCCAGGTCGAATTACTCACCCTTCCCAGGATGCAACCCCACACAGCAAGCAGACTCCTGGGGTACCTATTTACTGCGCTGTGGACAGAGGCATGAGGTGATAGAAAACAGGAAATGTGCCCAACCATTTCTGTTTCTCTCAGTAAACTGTTTCATTGGCCAATAGGCCTCTGCATTTTCCTTAATTCACAACAGTACTCTTATTACTATATATGGATATAACAATACAACTCTCAAGAGTTAATTCCTATACATATACAGTACAGTACAGTATACTTATATGAACTTACCTGAGGGCCAACTTACCTCTCTCTCTAGTAGCCTCAACAAGGAAAAGGAAGCCAACAAGCTCATCAAAGGTTTCCCCCTACCCCAATTGTCCCAGAGGATTTTTAAGTTTAGATCAAAGTTATTGACATAGCTAAAGTGCAGGGGGGGGGGGGGGGGGAATTGTGTAAAATCCTGGTTTGTGTCTCGGAGAGGCTGCAGGATCCAAGTAAACCGAGTAGAATTTGTGGTTGCAATTCTTATACCATGTCGTAGCTCAATCGATTAAGGCAGCGTCTGGGATGTTCTTGGATGTTGGTTCGAATCCTCGTCACAGCCCTTGTGGATTTGTTCACGTATGAAATATATTTTGAAGTTAATTTTTTGGGGAGTGTGGAATGGATTAATTCAATTTACATTATTTCTTATGGGAAAACTTGTTTTGGTTTGCAAATTTTCGGTTTACGAGCCATCTGTAGGAGCGGATTCAACTTGAAAACCAAGGTACCGCTGTACTGTGCTGTAATTTACAAGACAATATTGATTCAATGTACAAAATAGGATAATACTGATTCATTATATAAAATAGTATAGTACAGTACTAATTCAATGTACAAGACAGATTGAGAAACTGATTCAATATATGAGGCAGGATAATAATCAAGGCACTGCGATTTAATAAAATTTATCCGACGTAAAAAAGTACAGTAGCTGCAGGTGATATCCTGTTTAATCACACAGCAATTCACCAATTGCTGTGCATCTATCATATTTTTTACAATTACCTGTACTACAAATTTATTTTAATAATGATTAAAGATAACTTGGGGAAACTTTAATCGTTCTGAAAAGTTATAGTCAGAAAAGTAATTGTCATGGAAGCTGAAAGTGAAAAACAACATTTCACTTTCATGTGTACAATTCTTTTGTCAAAGCTATTCGTATTAATGTTTTATCCTTTATTAAATGCAAAAGTAAAAAATCATTGTTTCACTCTAGAACACAAAACTTGTTTCTTTTATAAAATTATTTAACATAACATGGATATCACACTCAAAGAGTACATGTTGGCAAACACTGATGGAAACATGGTCCAAAGACACGCCTTTATTACAACAATATTTTGTTAAGTGCAACACTTCAGGAGAGATGAGCATGTGAGTTTAGACCTGCAGAAGCGCTTCACTGAGTAAACATTAGTAATTAAGGCTGTTCCCTTCAAGAAAATCCCATGTGTTGATCACTTATCCAGGCATGAGATTAACAAAAAAAAAAACACAAAATTACTGTATTTAAAAAAAAAATAGGGATTAGCGATTATTTTGAAGCGGTCATTGTTTAGTCAATATTCCACTTCTGATAACCAAACAAATGAAGAAGTCTCTTTTCCCAGGATCCTTTAACATATAAAGGCTTGCAAATAACAAGCAGTTAAGAGGCAGCACCCAGCTACTGATATGGTGAAGAGTTTTCACTTCAATTTGACAAATTTCTCAAGTTTTTGTTGTTACACAGCACCCTCTTTCTATGTTATATACTTGGTCATCTATATTCTCCCGTTTACTGTAGCCTTGTGAAAGTTACACCCTCTATAACCCCTATATATATTTTGTATATATAAGAATGAAGTATGTGAGGGAAAATGCTGACCGAGTGGTGTGTCCGAGTGCAATTACCAGTGTAGTTATGGGACGAGAGCTATGCTCGTGTTTCATCTTTCCAGTACTTTCTGGAGTCTTGTCCCTTAACCACAGTATTAAACTTTAAATTATCCAGAAATTTTGTACAAGTATACAATAATGATTAACAATAAGATACTGTACATATCCAAGAGTTTCCCAAAATTCAATATCTGCATGTCTCTAAATAAATATTGGAAATTTGTATATTCATTTTTTCAAAGTATGGTAGTTACACAGACAATATTCCCATTTTCATTAAACAATGTCAATTAAAAATAGTAACATGACATTTCACCAGGAATGGCTGGTTAATACAACTGAATGGTTGGTTATTCCAGCAACAATAACCCTTGTCTAGAGTTGTGCAACCATTTGTTTGGTGTTGGCATACTGGAGAACTGATGTCAGGTGCCGCATACCTTGCTGCAGGTAATGTTTCCCACTTGCTGCCTGTGAACCAATCATACAACAAATTAAGTTTTCAAATTCAGAATACACAAAAATTACTACACTGTTCTCAAGGTAGGTATACAAGTACACTGTATACTGTATTGAAATACAGCAGTATAAATCTTTTCTCAAGATAACTAAGTACAGTATAGGTTAGGAGACTAACCTGTAGATTAAGTAACCAAGTGAAAAAGTAAAACAGACTATTCAGGATGCTGAATTTTTTGTAACAATATTAAACAATGAAATTCATGAAGCTAATAATTTGAATGACTTTTGAACCTTGTTTGGTTATTCAATGTTAAATGCCTTATTGCATCTCACCTGTAAATAAATGTTGGTGATTGTGTTATTAACTTGAGCATCAGCAGCCGAGGCTCCTGCTGTGATGGCTCCACATGTCTGGTCTGCGATGTTTTCAATGCCACCGCACACACTATTTATCAGTCTGGAGAGTAGTAATAAAGTTTGTAAGAATGCTGGGGAAGCATACTTCAGAATAAACATCAATGAACACAAGTTAAAATAATATATAAGCAAACATAAATGCATATGCAAATATTATATGTACTGTACATGGATGCACAGTACTATTCAACACGCATGTAATCTTGAGGTTATCTTGAGATGATTTCGGGGCTTTAGTGTCCCCGCGGCCCGGTCCTCGACCAGGCCTCCACCCCCAGGAAGCAGCCCGTGACAGCTGACTAACACCCAGGTACCTATTTTACTGCTAGGTAACAGGGGCATAGGGTGAAAGAAACTCTGCCCATTGTTTCTCGCCGGCACCCGGGACCACAGGATCACAAGTCCAGCGTGCTGTCCGCTCAGCTGACCAGCTCCCTGTGAAGTTAAGGTGAAGTTACCAGTTTTGGGGCACATAAGAAAACTATTTGTGTAGCAAATACTGTACAATAAATAATAGTGTTGAGGATATTGAAATACTATTTTCTTCTCTAGGCACAGCTTGAGCTCCAGAACCCCTTTCATCCATTTTGGTGGAGTTTCATCCAGGTGGAATATTTGAGATAGGGGCAGGATTCCAATACCTGTTCTCAGTGGGCACTGTGATGGCCACAGATGCATGGATGTGTTGGATTTGGCACTGGGGTACCAATGCATAAGCTCAGAGGAGCCACTGAGGGGTGGCCACCCAAAAACAAAACAAAAATTCTTATGATTTCTGTAAGATGCATGCTCACACGCATGCACACAAAAATATAAAATTTGTATTTAAGATTATACCTGCTTGATGGGGTTCTAGGAGTTCTTCTACTCCCTGAGGCCAGGTTTGACTTGAGAGTTTGGTCCACCAGGCTGTTGCTTGGAGCGGCCCACAGGCCCACATACCCACCACAGCCCGGTTGGTCTGGCACTCCTTGGAGAAAGCTATCTAGTTTTCTCTTAAAAGATGTCCATGGTTGTTCCGGCAATATTTCTTATAGTCGCTGGGAGGATGTTGAACAACCGTGGACCTCTGATATTTATAGTGTTCTCTAATTGTGCCTATGGCACCTCTGCTCTTCACTGGTTCTATTCTGCATTTTCTTCCATATCGTTCACTCCAGTATGTTGTTATTTTACTGTGTAGATTTTGACCTGGCCCTCCAGTATTTTCCATGTATATATTATTTGATCTCTCTCTTGTCGTATTATATTTAGACATTCCATATTGTCAAGTAATAATACTGTAATATATTTGAAGCATTTCTAGCATTTCCTGTGCCTAGTTTTATCCAACATTGTAAGGCAGTTTTTTTTTGGCTGCAAAGACCAAATATCAGCAATGTTACCCTATACATTTAAAAATGCAGATATGCATACAAATGTCTAAAATTTACACTACACTGTAGTATGTAAGTGTAATCTATGTGAACTACAAATAAATGAACACAAAATAATGTTAAAGTACAAAATAATAACACGAACATGGCAGTATGATCAATTTGGTCAAAATTTGTAAAGAACATATTGAGGCCAATCATTTCTTCACTAAAGGCCATGTGAAGAGGCCATAATAATGATGATGATGGCAGTGATGATAGCAACAAATCTCTCCATTATTCTACACTGAAGGAAAAAAGGTGACAATCTTACTGAGTAAAGTATGCTGCAAGTGTGAGAACATCGGCTTGAGGATTAGTAAGTGACAACTCTGCTCCTTTATGGCTCACAGCTGTGACCTGCCCCACTAAGACCGCCAGTTCTGCATAAAGTTCCCGTTCAGTAGTTGGGCCATCAATTGATCCAGCATCTTTGATAAGTGATGCAGTTTCCTCAAATGATGACCAAGCCTGTTGAGATTAAATATTTTGAGTTCATATTTTTTTCTTTATGATCAAAAATGCTAACTCTTAACTAAAAAACATCTTAATTCCAAATATATTCTAATGTTAGAATTCATGCAAATGTTAAGGATTCTTTTATTATTGACTTTTAATCTAAATTAACTATGGGGTTATAAATACCACAAAAATATTAATACTGTAGTCACTATTTTCTGTAAAAATAAAAAATATGGCTTTGCATGTACAATATGTGCTGTATGTGTACAATATACTATGTCCTACTATTTCAAGTACTATTAACAACAGTCTGGAAGGTCAACAGCACTGCACACTAGCACAGGAGTCTTTTTCAAAACCCTAAACTCCAGGAAAAGGCATAGGCAGCCTCACACAAGAAGAGTTTCTTACACAACCCAAGCATAAAGCCCTTCACGAACAAGGAGCAGTGATAGGCATGCCTGCAGTACTGTATGCAAGACAACACACAACTAGAGTACTGTATTACACTCTTCAACGACAGGCAGGCATGCCAGGTGCAAGGGTTTAACAAACCCCGAAGTCCATCCGTAAACATCTGGGAGTGAAAGGCATAGGAACCACAACAGTCTTAACGCAAACCATGTGCACCTTTGGAAAAGGGTAAAGCCTGAACACATACAAGCAATATAGTTAGGCATGAACACATTTAGGTTCTGGCATTATCCACATGGGAACCTGTGGCAACTAAATTATGATCTTTGCTCTCATATGGCCTCTTTATCCATATTTCTGGTCGCCCTCTTTGAGTTGTCCATAATCAGTGCCCTTTTAGATGATCTCTCACAGGATATTGTTGGCTGGTCATTTCTGCATGATTTTCTGACAATTCTCTCCCCTCCCCCCCTTTTTTTTTCTTTTTCTTTTTTTAAGGTTGGCTATGGCTTGCCATCAAAACCTGTATTGGTGGCCAGTGGCAAAAATTTTAGGTTCATGATCACTGAGGCAGAAGTGTGAGGTGGTTAGGCAGGAATTCCACTGATTTATGCCTTGTTTTGAATCTCTTCTGGGTCTTTTGCAGTAGTCATATCCTTTCTGATGTAATTATGTTACGTTTAGTTTTAAAATAGAGTACTCTAAATTTATAGCCTTGATTTGGATGGCTGTGACAGTATCTCTCTCTTGTCTGCCTTTGGGCCAGATCTTTGTCTACATCATTTATATCACTTGCTAGGTTTCTTTTAATTTCCATCTAGAACATCCTTTTAGGTAGTTGGCATGCATTTTCCCTCTTCCACTAGATATACCTGCTCTGAGGAGTTCAAATTTCTCCTCTACGAGCTAACTCTTGAAGCATTGGAACTGCACTGTTGACAGCAAACCTACCTTTAAGCAGAACTGTCAGGAGTGAGAGTGCAGGCGGGCGGGTGTGTGCGTGCACAGCTACCACCCACTTAACCTCATCCTATGGAGATGAGCGGGGACAGGAGCAGTCACAGAAATCAGTAAAATACTTAAAACATCTGAAGTGCACATCTAGTTATGGTAAAAGAATCCATCTCCCATATGAAAATGAAGTGATCAAAACAAAACACACAACCAGGACATCTGAACTCAACAGCCTTGCTATGGCAATGTAAGTTTCTGAATAACTACTTGAAACAGTGCCTTCACAGGCCTCTTCCCCAGAGGAACAACCAAAATCTTAAGAGATGACAACACTGGTGGTGCACTGTCCTCACTAGCAATGCCAGAGAAGGGAGCACTAGAACAGGTACCAAAGCAATGTAGATTGCAAGGAATACTCAATAATACTAGCATACAACCTTGTGAAATACTAAAGCATTTATCCTAAGTGCAAGTACTGGTGTTTAAAATGTTCAGTCCCCTCTTATTTGAATCATCAATACAGCAGCACAAGCAATGCAATACATACCATGCCAAGTGAGAGTGAAGGTTACCCCTTCCACTGGGACCACCTCTGGTGTTGAGGTGTACCAAATGCTGACAGGATTGGAAGGAAGGTCATTGTCGGGAGAGTAGTTGTTCAATAATTACCAGTTGATGTTGTTACAGCTTGGTAAATTAATGATTTTTAAAACACTTCCTGAAAGTGCCACTGTTTGAGACTTGCATTTATTGTTATTAACAGTTTGCAAGTTGATTTATGATCTTCAAATGCCTCATGCCTCAAAGGCAAAAACAGTACAGTATTATTAGAATAGTGCTTGCAGCCAGTTGGCAGAAATACTGTAGTCGCAGGAGCCTGGCGACTGAATGCGGTACAACTGCATCAGTGCCATAAGATTAGGGAAGCTACCGAGTAAACCTTCCCCCCAAAAAAGTAAAAAAATAAAAAAAGAGGGGAAAGACCGAGAAGTGCAAAATCGGATGATGAGGATAATGATACTGAAAAATGGGGGTGGGGGGGGGGGTCTAAAAACTCCAACTTACCTTATTTATTTTATCTGACTGCATTGGAAGGCCAATCTGTGGCACAATATTCGTTACTAGTTCTCTTAAATCTCCTTCTAAAGTGGCATCCTCTTCCAGTTCACAGGCATCCTGTGTGTAAAGGAACACTAAATTTTATAAGTCAATCTTTCTACCTGATAGATTGACTTGTTGACCATTATTTGTATATAGTCTTGGTGGTGTCACTATAATTAAATCTTTCTAAAATTTATCCAGTGTGTAAACATTATCATCAAAATGGCATTTTCATTACTTGTAGAAGTGATACAAACCCAGACAGTCCTCTCTGTTTGTACTGACATGCACACACCTATCCCTGCACACACTTAGGTAATTACACGTGCGCACGCACACACACGCACACACGCACACACACACACACACACACACACACACACACACACAAACACGTCTCCATTTGTTCATACCTTAATATCAGTATTTGCAGAGTTAAGCTTTTCTATTAAATAATGTGGTAGACTGTGCACCATGGAAGCCATCTTGGATTCACACTGCTTGGCAACCAATGACAGTGCCTCAAGATGCACAGGTCCTTCAGTACCTTCCCATGCACCATCAAAAGTAATCTTTTTTAGGTTCTTGCAATCATCGCCATTGCCCTCTCGCTGTTCACTTTCCTCGATAGCAGCTCGTTGTCGTGCCTCTTGCAAGACCTACAAATAAATGCCATTATAATCCGATCAAAAAAGATATAGAGAACTCTCTAATTCTCACAGTTTGGCCTAGTCAGACTTCTCTGATGATAACCAGATAATGAGCTATTTCATGCTGCTCATTCCCTAATACTGTACAATACACAAATAATCTGCCTGAACGAACTGTGTATCATTTATTTTAACTGGAACTGAAACACAATACACTGTTTCTTACAAATGACATGTACGTATATTAATATACTGTATACTGAACTGTATTCATGATGCGTCAGAAAACCACAAAAACATGATATTATACTGTATCTGAAAAAATATCAAGATCATCCACTGGAATCGAACGTGCCTCCCTGAACTTTGGTGAAGCTTTTTTTTTTTTTTTTGAAAGAACATAATTTTGCAAAAACTAATATTTAATATACAAAATATATGTAAGGTGTACAACCAATAGAATAATACTTGGGATAAATTGGTTTTTCTGTTGGAGAGAAGAGCTCTCTTTTTCCGTAGCCCAGGATCTCCATCTTGGATAACATCCATTGCCTTTCTTCCAATAACTTCCAGGGTATCCAAACCTCCCAACAGCACCTACAGTGAAGTAACTCATGGTTATAAGTGAAGAATGCACCAATATATAATATTATTTAAGAGTTCCTTCTTTGAAAGTCATCACTGATAATAATACTGTATATGGAAAGAACAATAAGAACTCTAAAGTATTACACAAGTGCTCCATACCCGACTCTGAATTTACAGAATTTCACAGTATGTATTGTAAATAAATGTTCGAAAATGTCTGGACCTGTCTTTGGATTTACAATAGTAATTATCCCTCAATTTTACATCAGCACAGTGTTTTCTTATCTTATGACGAGACAAAATTAAACGTTAGTAAAGGTATAAAGGAAAAATACCAAACAACTGTACAAAGTAAAAAAAAAAAAAACTTTCTACACATATTTTCCTTCAAATATTTTCTAGTTGCCTATACAATATGTATAATATGTATTTTTTTCTAATAGGGTTATTGCAAATACAAAGACAAATATTCTGCTTACAAAAATTTATGAGCATAACTAAATTTTTAACACAAACACAATCCCAAAGAAGGCCAACTCATCACCACAAAGGTCCCATAAGGCACAGGCCCACCAAAGTCCCCCACCCCAAACAAAGATGCCAGCAGGATCACACCAGGGCAGGGAAAGGGCATAAACAGACAAAGAGAATTTGATGAATGAGGGAAGCCACCCACCAGGATCATCATGCATGCAGACCTATAAGCCTGCTGGATAAGGATGAAGCATATTGGCTGAACAATTCCTGAACCCATGTCATAAATATTTTGGGTGCAAAAGACACAGGCAGCCATGAATCAGAACAATCATTTACGTGACCCAAGCATATCCTCAGCAAAAAAAACAGGGCTCTAACACCCACAAGAAGTAGGGCTAGACAATTTAATTTAATTATGTTCGAACGGCACACAAACTAACTACTTCACTCCTAATAGATAGGCCTCGTAGTGGAGAACAAGTCCCATGTACTACCTGAAAGGGAGTGACTCAAGAGGAGTCGACAAAAAGGCACATTACGTTGCTTACTGAGGGTACCGAAGTGTATTCAAGCAGTGGCTTGTGTTATGCTTTTATTTTCTGGTGAACTTCTCAGTTCTGGGCTGAAAGCAAGCCACATTCAACCTACAAATGATTAAAAACGATACTAAAGAACTCGTGCAAGGAGAGAGATTTAGCGATAGTCATAGGATAGTAAAGTATCACCAGATAAGTAGGTCTGAAGCATACTAAGAGTAGCCTATGCTACTCTGGCCAATTTAAAAGATGCTCTTAAACATGGATATAGAAATGCTTAAATTAATGATGAGAGCTAAGTTAGAATAAATAGCAGTTACTTGGTCCTACTATCCCAAAAAGCATATAAATAAGAAAAATATATAAATGCATGCTACTAATGGCTCCCAGACCTACAGCACAAAAGCTAAAGCCACAACTGGTAGATAGAATATAAAGAAGATATACAATCATCATATACAAAATTGTGACAGGAAACAAGAAAATTGATAAGGATTTTTTTTTTATTTGCCACAGTGAGAACAAGAGGTCATTGATTTAAACCAAGAAAACATTTGTAAATTATCTTCAAGCATGTTGGAAAATGGATGAAAAATATTAGAGGAGGATTGTGAATATCAAAACTATCACAAGCTTCAAAACTTCATTGTTCTCACTTGTAATCACACAGACACAGTACATACATGATTTATGATGCCCAATACATATATTACCTTTGAGCTAGCAGTCTCTAGTGCCCCCGAGACACCAGACACGAGAGATCCAAGAGAGGAGAGTCCGCCAAAGCTGTAGTCTACTACTGACTTCTGGCATTCCTCGCTGTTTCTACCAGTACTTACTGTGTTCACACCAGCATCTTCCAATCCTGGGGAAAAGTGAAGAAGTATGCAATGTTTTACTGCTTACATTATTTTTAAAATGAATCGGAATTGATTATGCTAGCTCAGCATTTTTGATACAGTACAATAATGATCAAATTGCTTGCAGCCAAAAGCCTAACAGGAGCAATTTAAATAGTATCTACTGTAAATGAAGAAATGTTTGGTTATTGGTTAATGCAAGAATATGGTAAAGTAACTACTTTCACTATAATAAATAGTAACTTTACTCTAGGTACAGCATGCATTAATCGATGTATTTCAGTAGGTATGACCATTATGCAACAAATGTCATCAATTGACACTTTCACACATAATTAAGTAAACACTCCTCAGTTGAGGTATGGATGTTTTCCTGACATCTATACATATCTCTGGTGTAAAAATAAAAAAATAAAACTGTCTCAAGCTACCTTAGCAGACATACAATCATGGAGTCAAACCAGTAATCACCATGTTGGGGTATAGCAGCCAGTATTCGCATACTGCATAGTACATGTTAAGACTTATATCGAGCCGAGCCGAGCCGAGCCGAGCCCCCCCCCCGGTCGAATTACTGACCCTCCCCAGGATGCAACCCCTCAACAAGTTGACCAACTCCTGGGTACCTATTTACTTCTAGGTGGACAGGTACACAAGATGATAGGAAACGCACCCAACCATTTCTGTCCCGCCCTTTCTCTCTGTGTCTTGAGATACGGGCACCATACAACTTTATGAATTGCAGTTTCTTAAATATTTAACCATCCATGTATTTAAGAATGATTCTGAAGCTGGAAAGCGTAGCATATGCTCCTTGCAAAATGTCCTTTATGTGGTCCTCTAGTGACAGTCTACTATCCAGATTCACCCCTAGATCTCTCCATCAGAGAAATTTAGTGCCTTAAATGGATGATACCATGAATGATACCTATTGAGTGCTGACCAGATGGTGCTACTGCATTGTGGTGCCCACCATGAAAAAAAAAAAAAAAGAATTGTGACCAGTCTAGCATTTATGCACGAGTGCACAGTATTTACTTCAAGTCAACAGTATCAGTATTAAGCAGATCACACTTACTTTCTGAATTGTCTACTCCTTGGATTTCCTCTTCTACTTTGCTTTTCAAGGGCTCTTGCTCACTTTTCAACTTTCTTTCACGTTCTGCAATCTCCTGAGCAAGAGTTTCAGGATCAGGGACTCCCAAGGTGCCTTCCACTGTCTCCATGACAGTGCCAACACCCTTGCCCACCTCCCGGGTGAAGGTGGAGGCAGCAGAGAGAAGCGTAGTGCCCCAGCCACCCCACGACTCTCCCCAGCCCCCATCATCTTCACAAGGTATCTGGTGCAAATAAAGGTGCAGGATTTGAATTTATAAGAATAATAAATACAAATACACAAAGTAAGAGACACTGAAAAAGGGATAAAGGCAGAAAGTTTGATTGGCCACTCACAGAAGCACAACACCATTTACACTTGGGTCACATTCCATCTCCCAAAATAAATTTAAAATATTTACAGATTCTGACCATCCTTAAATTTTCCTGTTTCTAAATAAAGCTTTGATATAGGCATATTTCGTTCAAACTTCAGCAACACAAATGTGATTTTTATTTTTATATGTAATGTACAGTAATACAGTATTCATATGTAAAAAAAAAAATGTATCATATGTAATGTACAGTCATATTCATATGTAAAAAAATGTAACTTTCTACAAAATTTGATTACTGCAAACCTTGTTATTTTTTTCTTGTATTATACAAGAAATGCATTTCTTAAAATACACATTATATTCTAAACATGGGAATGTAACTATCAAGGTATATAGATGGACAAATCCATATACAGGTACTGTACTCTTTTTAGAAAAAGAATAGTATTATCGTGAATGATTTCAAGGTACACAGTAAGGTTTCTAAGTACAGTACAGTACTATAAAGTTATTATCTCATACAGTGTGATGCCGACAGCAAAAAATCTAACGATACTGTAATTCTAAGGTGAGGATTACCCTGTGACTTTACTCGTCTGGCTTGATGGGCACCTTGGAGCTTGTGGGAAATCTAACATTTCTGATAATTGAAGTAGAATGTTCAGTGTCTTTTTTTATATACCAGTAATAAGCATCAAAATTAATTGTATTAACAGACTGCATGCACTGTATTGTAACTTAAGAAATATTTTTTCAATCACAATGTTTCAGCCATCAGTCAACAAGTACCAATTATCAAAAGAATGAATCATGCTCGGAAGGTTATACCCGTCTTAAATAATATTAAAAACTCATCATTCAGGATGCTAATAGGAGAGAAAAAATACAAGACGAGTATCAGATTCGCTAAGGAATTTATCAAGGGACATACGACTATAAAGAAAATTGGACAAGTAAAATTTTTTAACATCCTGAAAATCAGGACATTCTACGAGGAGGTGCCTTTCTGCTAGAGAGAGCAGTCAGACAATAATGTGTTCCATTCAGTGGCTAAGAGTGTGGCCATGCCCGTCATCAAATTCCATATTGGTACACTAGTTATATAAAATAAACTGACCAACATGTATATTGTGATAATGAAGGAAATCCGTATGATTTCTACTTGTACACAGTATAATGTTTCAATTATGTTATGTACAAGTCAACTAATATTGTTTATTGTAAAAATATAATAATTTTGTTGGGGATAGGCAGCCTGTACGTATATATATTCATTAGGCTTATATTGAGGTCCCCTCAAGGTCAAACTACTGACCCTCCCCAGGATCCACCTCCACAACAAGTTAACTACTATAACTCCTTGGTACCTATTTACTGATAGGTGAACAGAGGCATTAGGTAATAGAACACATGCTCAACCCTTTCTGTCCCACTCATGATTCAAATTTAGGATTCCTGACTGTGAACCAAGAGCAAACCCAGATGTACTACCAAGACCCAAGTACAGGTACAGGTAGTTTGCAAGTACGCCAGGCACTGGGACTGCATGTCACTCAATGCTTTTCTGTTCAGTGGCAGGTAATTTTTGTTACTCTATGAAATTGCACCAAATCTACCTAGAATGCACCTATCACCTATCAGCATGAATAACATAAGGAGGACTGTAAATGCAATACAACCAATATGCCGTATATAAATACTGTACTGTACGTACGTTTTGAGCATTTCCACCCTGATTATGAACCAGCTGCCACCTCAGCAGCTGCTCCTGCTCTTCCACTTCTTGCCGTTTTTTGTGTTCATCTTCGTTTTCTTCACTAATGAACTCCTTTTTCTCTTCGTTTCTCTCTTTATTTAAGGCACAGTCTGATCTCTCATTAAACTGATCTGAACTGTCTTCAATCTTTTTCATGCTGTCTGAACTGATGTTCTTTAATGCCTTCTTTTCTATTCTGGAACCTAATTTTCTTGCTCCAAGTCGTTCCCCAAGCTTTTCACGAGGTTTTTTCATGCCTATTTTAGATTCACGGATTGGTTTGGGTTTCGAGATTTCTCCTGAATCCAACACCTTATAATTAGTCTTTTTTTCTTCTTTTGCACGACCATCCCAGTGACTGGAATGTACAGCAAAAGTACCCTTATCAATATCTGGTTGATTTTCTTCTGTCTGTCTCTGGTTGGCAATTGTTTGGCATGCTGCTTCCGTTTCCTTAATTTGAGTCACTTCTACTCTCTTTGTCAGATTAATTTCTGTATTTTTTACTTCACTTTGCTTTACATTTTCAACATGGACATCCTTTTCTGTATTCTTGTCCTCATCATGTTCTGCATGTACTGTATGTGTAATGGACTCTTGCATATCACAAGAATTTATCTTACTGTAATTCTCTCTCTCATCAATGGAACTTTTTTCATTTTCCTTTGTAATATCACCTTCTATTCTATCACTCTTGGCACACTTGATCAGTTCACTATTTTCAGAAAACAAAATTTCCTTTTCTAATTTAACACACTCTGGATTACTTATTTGTGAATCTCTGATAAGTGCAGAAGAGATTTCTTTCTTTGGTGGTGTATCTGTGCTCTTTAAATTCTCACACACAGTATCATGAATATTCAACTCATTTAAAGCTGCTCCTATTTCCTTGTCTAAAGTCTGCTTTTTTTCCTCATCTGGTTGGATTTTCTCTGATCGAGAACAATTTGCCGATTTGATACTTGGACATACCTGACCACCGTTTTCTAACTCAGAAGGTGATTTATCAGTATTATCTTTTTTATCACTGGTACTGCAACCTGTCTTTTCCTCATCGCTAGAAAGTGAAACAGTTTGAGGGGGCAGTGATGATTGAGGAATGTAGCATTCAACCACTGCTGCTGCTTCTTCATTGCTGGAGGATAGAGTGGATGGCAGTGGTTGGCGACATTGTTTCGGCAGCTGTTTTGCCGATTCTGGAGATTCGAAGCCTTCAAAATCTGAACCTTCATCAGCAGACTGGAAATCCTCTTCACTTTCAGATGACATGATTCTGGAAGAAAGATATGCATGTACAGTACAGTATGTAAATATTTAAGCATTGTTAAAATGACATTAACCAATAATTCATCCACTAAAGAAAAACACACACGAGTAGACATCTAGAGAAGCCATATGTACAACCAAATTTTAAAAAAATAAGAAATAAGCTCTTGAAAATTATTTTTCATACTTACTAGGTCAGTGCAGATGTCTCATCTGCCAAACTTTATAGCACGGGAAAACTGAATGCTTCAAGTTTGCCCATACCTAAAAAAAACAAAATACCTGTATAATAAATTAATAATTCTGCCCCAATTGACCTTCAAACAAAAATAGCAACATTCAACCCTTAGGCAGCGGTTATCATCAATTGTCGATTCACAGGGTAATGCAATCATTATATGTAGATTTAAAAAATTATTGTCTGGATTTTACATGTATGATGCAAATAAGGATATAAATAGCCTAAGTGGATGTATTGGAATTTACCTTTACCCATGAAAACAATAGTGCTATCATATCTTGGTATAAATGTGGTTATCATCATGAATGTTACTAGGGGAATGCAGTCATCATCTGAAGATTTAAACACTTATTGTCTGGGTTTTACATGTATGATGTAAATGTGGATATAAAGCGCTATGTGGATGTAAATAAAAACAATGCGATAAAACAATCAGTGAAACATCGGCTGATAAAGCAGGAAGCGTCAGCACAAGGCATTGACAAGTGCCAGACGCAGCCTTGCAGAGCGCCTCCACCCAGTGGAATGATAAATAGTCACATATTTTCATGTTTTTCTTACATGCTGCATACAAATTAATTATTCTGTAATGAAAATTATTTCTTGGAATTTTTTATATTTTTTTGTGCATAGGCAGGTACAGTGGAACCTCGACTTACGAATGCCCCTACCTACGAATTTTTTGAGTTATGACCCCAATTTCATCGGAAAATTCGACGCGACTTAAGACTTTTGCCTTGACTTGCGACTTTGTTGCTACATGTATGGGTCGACTGAGCATGTGGTTCCTGGTGGCATGAGCGATCCCGCCCATGCCATGTGAGGTGGCCCTCACTAAGGAATGAAAGGTGCCCAAAAAAACATTAGAAAGTTCTCTTTTGCAAACAGAGTGGTAGACGGTGAAAATAGGTGGAAATGATGGATGCCAAAACTGTCAGTAGTTTCAAAGTGTTATTGACAAGAGAACTGGGAAGAAAGGATATGCAGCTCTCATCCAGTAACTACATTTAGATAATTACACAACAACTGTACATGTTTTCACATGTTTTTGAACCATCACTTCACATGCTTTCCATCTCTACTTCCAAAGCACCACATAGCTCAAGCAAGTCCTAAGACAAACTCATTTCTACTGTCAACAAGGAAAACTGTTATAGGTTTCACCAATGGCATGAGCTCTAGGGGTATGTAATTGTTAAGGACAGAAATGTAGAGGTCTGAAGAATAATGGAATTCTAAACAGGAGAAATAGTTATAATACAAAATTGAAAAATAAGGAAGGAATTAGAAAATATGTATACACAGACATAAATACAGGCATAATTACTTTTTACATTAAGAGTATTTTATACCACAGTATTTCAATAAAATTAATTTTGTTATAAGTTTTAACTGTTTTCAAATTAAAATGGCTGTAGTCTGACTTCAAACATTTTCTCTAGTTGTCAAGTAGATACAGTATGTTAATATCTCGTGTACATACTAGTGATTTAAATCCTGAATTATTTCCAACTGGACATTTCATTAAAAAAATTGTTTACCAGAAGTTAAGTGTCCAGCATATAGCAATAGACAGACAACTACAACAAAAACCTATGCAACCAACCACAGGAACATTGGTGTGTATACTGTGATATATTTTTGATAAACAAAAACTATACAGTTTAATTTTGGTAAACCTATTTTTTACATAAATTAACAAATAGAAATTGGTAATCATTTCAAAGCAAAATTATGCATTCTTAAGGACATGAAACAAAGTTTGTACAGTACTTGAGAAATGGGCAATGAGTTATGCATAAGTTTATTAAATGGTAACTGGGTGATTATCTTGGAACCAAATTCCAGACAATTTTTCCTGCTTAATACCAGTATGATCTAGCAGTTTAATGGGTGGTGATTGTTAGACAGGAGGCATGCTTTTCATACATGTGGCTTTATATTATTAACATTAAAGTACCTTAAAATATAATGTGGCGTATTTGAAGTGCATTTTATATAAATAACTTTACTAGGTATATTTAAAAGACATTTTTCCCAGGATGCTACCCATAACAGCTGTCTAACACCCAGGTACCTATTTACTGCCAGGTGACCAGAAGCAATCAGGTGCAATGCCGTACAATGTCACTTGCTTAAACGTCTCGCTTTCTCTGAGAATTAAAAGTTTCATACAATCAGTTGCAACCCCCCCCCCCCATGCACTACAGTTGGGAAGCCTTTCTTTTGCTAGCTGGGATGCATTTTTTATATGAAAGGCATTATTAGGTTGGAGTGTTTAGGCTGGGGGATTTGTTTATCAGGGAGGCAAAAAGGTTTAAAAGGTTTTTCCAAAAACCTTTTAATTAATAAATATAACTAATAAACTTTGCTGAGCTTTGACGACCAGTGATCATATCCCTCGATACATAATTTTAATGATCTTCACGTTTTTCCTCCCACAATCAACTGTCCCATTTTACCAGTATAGATGTGCAGAGAAAGTGTCTCTCCTAATCTACGGTGAAATACAACAGGTAAATGAGAAAGCGTGATGTGAAATGTCGACTGAAATTTTTAAGAAAGCGACGCCCACGAACTGAAATTTTCTCCCATAAGTCTGGACAACAAGGCACGAGAATCCGCATCACTCTAACGATATTTCAGATACAATACTATGTTATACGAGTACTAGTCAAGTAGACACTTACAAGATGATGGAGGAGGAGGTTGTTACTTGAGGAGCAGCGACGACCCTCAGGCCGGATCAGCTGTTGGAGTAAACACGTCACTGAGGCAGCCGTCAGCTGTCAGTTTGCTTCAGTAACCAGGGATCACTTATATAGCCTCACCTCACTGTTACTTCTGCTATTACTACATAATAATTCAATTATACTAAACTAAACTATTAACAGTGCTAAATCTAATGATTTAGTAGGAACAGCATTGTTATTATTATTATTATTATTATTTTATTATTTATTTTATTATTATTATTATTATTTTATTATTTATTTTATTATTATTATTATTATTTTATTATTTATTTTATTATTATTATTATTATTTTATTATTTATTTTATTATTATTATTATTATTATTATTATTATTATTATTATTATTTATTATTATTATTATTATTATTATTATTATTTTGTACACGATATTTGTTACTTCAGTTCTTGCAAGTTTGTGCAAGATGTGCACATAATTTTGTAACTACTGTAGTTCATTAAAACTGTAACTTGCTTAGCTAAATAAATTGTGGGATTCAGTCTCATTATGGACCTCTGTAACTCGTTCTACTACCGCTCACAAGATGGGTATGGGGTGCATAATAAATGCACTCAACTTAAAAACTAAAAAGTTTGAACTGTACGTTTTCTGTTTTACGCCTATATAGACTACTTTAAATGTATTAAATACATATTTGGTATTACCAGAATTTACCTGAGGACCACCATCAATCTAGCGGCATCGACGGAGACAGGAAAACGGCGACTTTTCAGTTTTTTTTCTAACTTGAAATGTCACATGTCACTCCTAACTCATTGCCCTATTAATTAGATTAATAGATTATTAATTAATTAATTAGATTAATAATGCCTTATTAATATCCCCCTTTGTTATGTCCATTCATCCACTTTAAAACCTCTATCATGTCACCCTTAACTATTCGCTTTTCCAGTGAATGCAATTTAAGCTTTGTTAATCTCTCTTCATATGACAGGTTTCTAATTTGGGGAATTAACTTTGTCATCCTACGCTGGACACATTCAAGTGAATTTATATCCATTCTATAGTACGGCGACCAAAACTGAACTGCATAATCTAAATGGGGCCTAACCAGAGCAAGAAATTTATTTATTTATTTATTTATTTATTTATATACAAGAAGGTACATTAGGTTTATGAGAATATATAGCATAGTATTTACAATCTTGTAAGGCCACTAGTACGCGAAGCATTTCGTGCAGATAATTAATCTAACAGATAATTTTAAGTAGGTAAATTCTAGCAGAATTAATAAAATGATAACAAATACATTGCAAGAAAAAAAATGAGATGATTATGAGAGAGATTAGTAAGTATATTAAAGCACATTGGTATATTAAAGCTCTGATTGATTACATTGACAGCTTGATTGGTAATTTAAACAAGATTAATAGAGCTGAAGAACCACACCAGGTGTCTTGTTACTAACGCTTCGATTAATAAATCCCACTGTCCTATTTGCCATATTACGAACATTCATGCATTGATTCTTTGGTTTTAAATTCTTACTAATTATAACTCCCAGATCCCTTTCGCAATCCGACTTCTCTATCTCAACATCATCTAGCTCGTATCTTGTAACTCTATCATCATTACCTAGCCTCAAAACTTTACATTTATCAGCATTAAACTGCATCTGCCAATCTTTTGACCATTTCAAAACCCTATTTAGATCAACTTGAAGTGATAGTGAGTCTTCTTCCGTGTTTATTTCCCTACCGATTTTTGTATCATCGGCAAATTTGCAAATGTTGCTACGAATTTGTTGCTACGTTAAACGAATTTATTGTTAGAGTTCATTAGGAATTAATTTTGTTGAAGGCAGAGTTTCCAACAAATACCTTCCTGTGATTGGCTGTTGTGGGGAATGCCAACGCTTATATGAATAAAATGCAAAATAAGAAATACGTCCTTTTGCTCAATAACCTTGTTGTTGTACAAAAGAACAACAATTTCTTTTTTATACAAGACAGAAATGTCCATCTAACTGAATAATATAGACCAATAAGAGGACGGAGGCATTGTATCGCCCATATTATTTACGTGAGTAAATTACTTTCAGCAATTTGGATCTGGCAACCCTGGGATGCAACCCCACAACGAGCTAACTAACTCCTGGGTACCTTCTTACTGCTAGGTGAACAGAGGCATTAGGTGAAAGGAAATATGCCCAACCATTTCTGTCCATCCCAGTATTCGAACCCAGAATACTCAATTGTGCGTCGAGAACGAACCCGACTGTCCTACCGGCCCCCTTGGTAACATATGTTATTGTGCCTTCATTTACAGGAATTGTGATTAATAATATATCATTGTTGTGTATTTTCATTTGTTACAATTCTGTGTTATGATATTATTATCGCTGTGCAGTGCTTGTGTTTCGATTGACAAGTGTTAGTAGACCGTTGTATACTAATCGAATTCCTACGTGTGGTTGCCAGTACTATAGACAGCTTATCACGAGTGCATTCACTTAATTCACTACTCTGTTGGCGTTAAAAGTGACAGGAGGCAACTTTGCTGTTTGCAAACTTGCAAATATCAAACTGTTTGATATTCCTTGTTTGCTTAGTTTTGTGGCCGTGATATTCTCTATTAACGTAAAGAACTAGTGGTACTGTGTGCTAGTGTGTAAAGTAACAGTGCTACTTTATTAATAAATTGCTGCTAAACCAACAGTAAGTTACACAAGTTTTCAATTAAACCCTTTTCCCCATACTACTCTCACATATTTGAGGTTATCTTGAGATGATTTCGGGGCTTAGTGTCCCCGCGGCCCGGTCCTCGACCAGGCCTCCACCCCCAGGAAGTAGCCCGTGACAGCTGACTAACTCCCAGATACCTATTTACTGCTAGGTAACAAGGGCATCAAGGTGAAAGAAACTCTGCCCATTGTTTCTCGCCGGGACCGAACCCGGGACCACAGGATCACGCGCCCCGTGTTCTGTCCACTCAGCCACCAGCTTACTAAGACTTGTTATACGACTTCTTTATCCACTTACAATTCCTGAAACAATTTCGAGGGTAGAGCTGCTACACAGCCTTACACCAACTACAAATATTGGTGTATGACCCCTTTAGCCCTCTAGCGAACTTGTGTTGGGAGGACGACGACCCTTAATACAAGATCACGATATCCTAGTGGAGGAGTTCGTTCCTTTGTGCCGTTATCTCGGCCACTGGTGTATCAGTGTCCTCTTCTTAGTTATTTGGGTAACTCAAGGTGGGCTATTACAAGTGCAAGGAGCAATTGTAGGTCCTCTTTAATAATCCCAAGCATTACAGTCCTCTCTTGCGAACTTTCTTGAAGATTGGTGTCAACGGAGTAAATCAACTGAGTAAAAAAATTATAATATCCTCCTCGGGAAGAGGACAGAAAGATATGACACTCCTCTGTTCTTAGGAAGGGACAATACCAATCTGTTCCTACGATTATAAGGTAAAGAAACGCTCTGCAAGTCTTAACAATATATATATATATATATTTTACACTATCATCAACTATAATTCTTTTAAAACATGCATCTCAATACCGTCTTGGATCCTTGCGCATCCCTTCAAGTGGTATCCCAATCCACTTGAAGAGTTAACTCCCTTTTGTGAAGCTCCATTTGAAGAGTTTACTACCTTACATGAGGCTCCAGTAACCGTGCCAATCTCGAACTCCTCGCATTTATGGTCCCAGTTTATTTTCTTAATTACTTTATCAAAGTTAATAACTTAACATACATCGACAAATACGATATCCTCTCATTGCCTGCTGGTGAAACAACTAGTGATGTTGATGGATGTGGAGATGGTGGCGGAGATGAGGAGCGACTAGAGGTTGCAGGCAGAGGTGTCAACATCGCCGGCAGTGTCACACTGAAGGATGTGCTGGTTCCAGAAGAGACCAGCAGCACACTGCTCCAGATGGGGCGATCCTTGGTAGCACCAGTAGTACTGCCAATACAATTCAGTTGTTATGTGTGCCTTCATAAACTTGTATCACGTGTGTGGACCTCATAGTGTCAATGTACACATGCATGTGGACCTCATAGTGTAATGTACACACGCATGTGGACCTCATAGTGTCAATGTACACATGTATGTGGACCTCATAGTGTCAATGTACACATGCATGTGGACCTCATAGTGTCAATATACACATTCATGTGGACCTCATAGTGTCAATGTACACATGCATGTGGACTTCATAGTGTCAATGTACACATACATGTGGACCTCATAGTGTCAATATACACATTCATGTGGACCTCATAGTGTCAATGTACACATTCATGTGGACCTCATAGTGTCAATGTACACATTCATGTGGACCTCATAGTGTCAATGTACACATGCATGTGGACTTCATAGTGTCAATGTACACATACATGTGGACCTCATAGTGTCAATATACACATGTATGTGGTACCTGATACTCTAAGTAAACATAATACGAAAGATTAAAATCTAAACTGAAGATCAAAGCAGCTAGCTTATCTTAACCCTTCAAATTTGTACGTGAAATAAACTTTCTGAATTTACTGGCCAATACAAATTGATCAAATAAAGATTAATTTAATTTTTACCTCAATTACAGACCTTAAACACAACTTAAATCTACAGAAAACCAAAAAAGTAATAAATTTTACATTTTCAAAACTACTTAAAAGACCGATGATAAAGTATAGAATTTACTAAACACAATTAACAAATCATAAACCAACCCTGGAAACACAAACCGAAACTGTATTTTCCGCTTGTTACAACTTGTAATGAAGTTGTTACATCGTGTTTATGACGTATTAGAACATTGTTACAACTTGCTATATTGGTTGTTATAACTAGTTAGGAAGTGTTAAAATTTGTTCGAACGTTGTACCAACGTCGTAGTTTCGGTGTGTGTTTGGCGGGTTAAGATAGTTTGGAAATATTAACAATATTATCGCACGAATACAAGAATTGTTGTCACCTTATCGCAGTCTTCAGCGGGGTAATAGACATTGTCGACCTGGCAGGTCCACAAGTTACAGCCGGAGGTGTCCACGTTCTCCTCCCAGTTACAGGAGTGGAGGGACTGGTCCCACACCGTGCCCCCAGCACACAGCATCACCAGAGGGTTCCCGTTCCTGCACTCCCAGAACTGTGGGGCACAGATAGGCGGTTCTCAGTGAGCTGGACTTTGGGTTTAGTCGCACGCGCAGAGCTATTTGTTATAATTTTTCAGAAAAATTATATCATAGATACACACACAATAAAGGGTGAACAAACCTTATTGCAGTCAGGGTGGGAAAACGTAGTTCCATCACTTAAACCGGTGCAGTTGGGCTTAAATACCGGATGACGAGTAGTGGTTGAGCCACCATCAGTGGTTGTAGTGGTAGGTGGCTCAGTAGTGGTAGGTGGCTCAGTAGTGGTAGGTGGCTCAGTAGTGGTAGGTGGCTCAGTAGTGGTAGGTGGCTCAGTAGTGGTAGGAGGCTCAGTAGTGGTAGGTGGTTCAGTAGTGGTAGGTGGCTCAGTAGTGGTAGGTGGTTCAGTAGTAGTAGGTGGTTCAGTAGTAGTTGTGGTAGGTGGCTCAGTAGTAGTAGTAGTGGTGGTAGTAGTTGTGGTAGGTGGCTCAGTAGTAGTAGTGGTGGTAGTAGTAGTTGTGGTAGGTGGCTCAGTAGTTGTGGTGATAAATACCTCAGTCGATGTGGTTACTTCCCAAGTAGAAGTTACGGCGGCACATTCCTGTAAAAGAATAAATGGCTAGAGATAAACACAAGCCTCGCCAACCACCTGGATGGTCGCCTAGCCTCTCAACCCAGGCCAGACAAAAAACAAAAACAGTCCAGCTTGGATAGCCTCATGCTGGAGAAAATAGCCGAGGCCTCGCTCTATCCTGCCCAAAGCGTAGCTAAAGTCAACAGCTCACAGCTCGAATACGACTCGATTGTGTTACCTAAGACATTACTTTAATTTAAATTTCAACTGGAAAATATCCTCAGGAACCATAGGAGATGGGGGGAGGGGGGTCAAATGACAAGCTGCCGCTTTCCTGTTCTTATCGAGGCCACTAGAGATATTGGGGCCATCAAGTAAATTCAGGTAAGTATCTCAGTTTGGCATATAGGGGATTAGAGTACATAAAGTGTGTGTATCAAGACAGGGACACACACAGCAAGCATTGTTTTATATTGTACAGTATATAAATTGAGCAATTTCGATAATAATGTAAACTTACGTTACATGAAATGGAAATCTTATTATAAATGAAAAAATATTGGAAATTTTTGCAAAGTATCCATAGTTAGCTCCTAATAGAAGTCGCTCCTAAAATTTTAGCTCCTAAAATCGCATTTTTTGATGTGTCATGAGGCTGTGTCGAGAAAAACACACAATAACTCTTCTACTATCCTGTAATATCTAATATTGGAATTCATTTTAGAAATAAACAAAAATACCTACCTCATGGTTGTAAACTGTTTATTAAATGTAACCAAAGTCGTCAAATATTGAGGAAAGATGTACACGTTCGTAAGAACTTGTGTAACTGCTTCGTGAATCTAGCCCCTGAGCCGTAGGTCCACATGCCCTCCCTCCCTCCCCTTAGACTCTTGGCCCCTGGAATAAGTGTGCCATGAGCTTTCTCAGAATTGGGGTCTAGACTTATTTACTCAACTAGTGAGCCAAAGGCTGGAAGTTTCAGTACTGACCAACTCGTCTCCACCAGCCGGCTTGCTGAGCGCCCTCTTCATAGCCTTGATGAGGTGGAAGGGCTCGTTGTAGCAGAAGCTGTGGAAGTCGTCGGTGTCGATGGTCCACACCATCACCCCAGCCAGACCCTTGTTCTTGGCCAGGCGAGCCTGTGTGTGTAATGGTCCAGGTCAGCCTTGTCGCGGGGACAGGTATGGAGACATGTATAAGGCACAGGTAATGAGTTAGTTTTAAAAGTCCCAAAAGTTATATTTTACATGATTATATGATGTGAGTCAGCCAACTTAGACGTGGCTGAGAACAATCATTGCTGCAGGACGGCAGGATCAAACCAGCCGCTCTGCTCCAAAGATTGTCTCATAGATACATCACGTTACTGGGATTTCATTGTGTAGAAGTGAACGTTTATCTGGACGAGACCTTGAGGTAGGCGGAGTCGGCGTCGTCGTAGCCGCACCAGATCCTGTCGCTGATGCAGTAGAAGTAGGGCTCGTGGAGCGCCGGGTCGTGCACCACTGTACAGTCTCCTCGCTGGTCCTCCGACAGACGCTCACAGATCTACCAGAGGAGGTGAGACATTATCTCATGCCTTTCATATACTTTTCGATAATCCGACTCAAATAACAGCCACCATAACTCATTAACACAATTGCGTTTATTGGAACTGGATTATTATCAAATTCTCGGATTAACAGCCAGTTAAACTCATTCCTGTCAGCAACAGTGGCCTTCTCACAATATAAATGTGTTGTAGGGAGGACGAGGATGTCGCCACTGGCAGCAGAAACTTGTGAGGTATAGTACAGGTTTCTATGACATTAAGATGCCCGAAGAGGTTGTCATCTACTGATGCTCTTATACCAGCAGCTGTAACTAGTTAGATCAACACACACTTACTTCGTTAGCTCCCAAGCTGCCAGGGATGCGAATGTAAGGTCCAGCTTTGCCGGGTTTGTGAGCTGGAGCCAGTATACCGTGTTGACTGATGTCATCCAGAGTCCAGCACCTGCCGTAAGCGGGGATCCCCAGCACCATCTTCTCCCGAGGAAGGCCCAGTGACAGGTAGTAGTCCACAGTAAATTCCTGCCAAGAGGAATAGATACACGTTTCTGCCTCCGTAATCCGCAAGCCATACTTTTTGCTTTGATGTCCAAAGGGTTTGGAAAGAATGGGGGAAGGTAGAGGGATGGGGAGGTGAAATTCTGGAAGAGGATACGGGAGTAGAGAGAGAGGAGGCCATGATTAACCATGGAATTGTGCAAGCCATAACCTATCACTGAGTTACTCAAGCCCTAATTTATTATTATTATTATTTTTCATTTTAATGGAACTGTCCTATCCCTGATTAAATATGTAGATATCCTAACTCAAACATTTGATTCCAGAATATTTCCAACAGGAGTTTGGAAGATTTCAGACAGTTGAGGGTAGCTGGAGCTGTCTTCAACTGACTGCCATCTTCCAAAGTGAAGATGGATGGGACTGCCATTTTCCAAAGCGGAGAAGATGAAGGTAAGGTGGAGCTGTCTTCACATACTACCATCCTTCCGTCTTCGCCACACACACACACACACTAGTTGATTGACACTTGAGAGGCGGGACCAAAGAGCCGAAGCTCAAACCCCGCAAGCACAAATAGGTGAGTACACTTACCACATTAAAGTCGATATACTCGCCCCAGTCGAGGTAGTAGCCACAAATAGGGGCGTTGTGGTGGGTGAAGTTGTCCCAAGCGCCGTGATAGTCGTAGCCCATCACGTTCATGAAGTCCAAGGCCTGGGCCAGGGCTGGCACGTCGTAGGAGGCGTCGATGGTGGGCTTGCCGGGCGACAACGCAGCCGACAGCAGCAGCGGCGGTGTGAACTGGCTGAACACGCTTCGGAACTCCGTCAACAGCGTCACAAAGTTCTCCTGAGGTAGGACGAGGGTGGAGTATTAGCCTGATGACTCACATACGTGGTGTACAATGATCTAAATGTCTCGTTTAGTGTATGCAGCTGACGTTATGCTATTTATCAGTCTCTCTGGAGTTATGCTTGGTGGTATATCTAATGTCATGTGTCTCTTCTCTAGTTAGTGTGCCGTCCACCATGTTTGTTGGAGTCTACTGGGTATACCCAACACCCACCACACCTTGCCCTGGGTATACACACCTTGTCGTCCGGAGCACCACCTCGGGTGGTCGGGTATTCCCAGTCGACGTCGAGGCCGTCGAAGTTGTGCTCAAGCACGAGACTGACGGAGCTGTCGATGAAGGTCCTTCTCTTGGCCGGGTCCCTGGCCATCTACAGGAAGGAAGGAGCATTCAGGTAAGGTAAACTACATTAATTAACTGGTATCACTGTAGGAGCAATAAATGGATGCACCACTACACTAAACACATCATTCACTAATGTTATTAAAAATATTAGCAAGTTTAACATACAGCTAACTATGTTTTTACGAGACCTAGATAGTTTAATTTTTATTGATGCTTGTGACGAACTAGTTTAACGTGTAACTAGTTTAACACGTTATGCTAGTAACTTTACACGAACTATATACCTAGTTTAACTTTGCACTTGAACTAGGCTCTTTACGGGAACTATATAGTTTAACATTGTGTTATGAGGTAGACAAAAGTTTACCTCTTATGAGAGAATACTCGAATATGTACAATGGTGATGTTTTAGCCCTAACGTACTACTGAGGTGTCCTATCCCTAACCTGTCACGAGCTGCCCTATCCATAATCTACCACTGAGCTGCCCTCTCCCTAATCTACCATTCAGCTGCAATATCTCAAATCTACCATGGACTTACTCTACTCTTAAGTTACAATTTAACCTCATCCCTGATTTACCATGAAATAATCTCATGAAGATTAGTCCAAGCCCTAAATGTGATGTGGAATTTTATATCCAATCCCAGATTGATGAAGATTAAGCCACCCGAGAGCTGGCACGGGCAGGAATAACCCGTAAAATCCAATCCTAGACTTCCGTAAAGAAAAGTAGCCTACCCTCCTCCATCTTGATTCTCCAGAGATGCGACTTACCTCAGAAAAGTCTGAAGAGCCCTCATTCCAGCCGCCAACGGCCAGCAGGGTAATCAAACTAGGGTTTTGTTCCTTGAGGGCGACGAAGCGGTCATAGGCACAGTTATTGCCAGGCTCTGGAGGACATAGCTCGTTCCACGGGTCCAAGACCTTGGAAGATTACAAAAAATAAATATGAATTAATTATATACAGTATAGATTAACTATATATAGATTAATTATATGGCTAAATTATATGTAAACATCTATGGATAATGCGAGATGCATAGAGCAATTAATTAGGATATTAATGTTTTTGGGAAGAGAGAGAGGTGTGGGTTATTGTTAACACAGTAAGTAGTATTTCCCATTTAGGGGTTTTAGTTTTAAACAGAAAATATAACATTACTCTAATAACTGAACTACAGCAGCTGGTGCAGCATGACCTACAGCTTCATTTAACGTTGAAAATAGTATAACAAAATCCTAGGGCAAGAAATTGAGATGTTCCATTTCTCATGCAGTGTAGTGGTATCAATTTGCCGTATATAATGTTGATACCAGCTGCTGGTGTGGACAGGTGTGTAGAACTGGTGTGGTAAATAATTTCCACATTTAAATTATATCCATTTTCAACCCAATTAACACTTAAATATTAAATTAAATTCGCAAGGGGATTCGTCCTCTGTTTAAATTTATAAATAATAATACTGTACGTAGTAATATACGTTGTGGGCTGATGCAATACTTCTTGAGTTCAAGTTCAAATATGTATATTGAGACAAGGAAATGCATCTAAAAGAGATAGAGTACCTTAGGCTATTTCTACCCTGAACTTCTTGAAGGCGTCGTCAGCTGTTCCTACCACAAGACAACTGAGAAACTGAGGTGAGGAAATTAAACTCAATACTTTATTAATTTATCGACCTAACAACATTAACTCGATTTCTTAATCAATTATAATTTAACGACCACTCGTAAATAATTATTAACCCCTGACTAAAAGGTAGATAGGTGGCTCGCCATTTTGGATATCAACAAACCCAGCGGCAGACATATCACGCCCTGCAGTAGCTGCCTAAAGGCTAAATAGCCTTTTTCAAGACAACTACCGCTGTTTTTTTTTACCTCGCAACTGATAAACTACGTAACGTATTACATAGGCTTTGGCCATTTGTGTATTTAAGGTGTTAGAAGTGAGTGTGGTCACGCCGCGGCGTACAAGTAGTTAAAGATGGCTCGACTCACCTCAATCTCCCAGGTAAGGTTGCTGAGGCCGGCGAAGCCAAAGATGAGGTGGGTACAGAGGTTGGGGTCTATGTCATCCACGTCGAACCTCCCGTTGCCAGGCCGGTATACCGCCCACGAGGAGAAGTAGCACACCATCATCTCTGAGGGATACAACATGGTGGTCAAGTATGGTGGGGGTGTGTATGGTATATGGGCTGTTGTTGTTGTTGTTGTTATAGATTCAGCTACTCGGAACAAGTTCCAAGTAGCACGGGCTATGGTGAGCCCGTAACTTACCTGGCACAGGAGCAGTGCTGTGAATTCGTTATATGGGCGGGGTGTAAGCTCCTTATAGGGAGGGGGTGTAATGTGTTTGTCACACCAACACCCAGTGTGACCCACAAACCATGATCTAATCCACTCAATATTATTTTAATATTTTGTATTGCTGTTGTTCGTAGTATAGGCCACAAACTGCTGACAACGAAGTAAATAAACGCGAATATGAAAATTTATTATTCCTGTTACTAATTAACATTATTTATAACATTATAACTAATATTACCACTTATCTTGACCTTAGGAAAAATTACAAATGATTTCCCATGCCTAGCAAAAACGCTGTCATACCAAACCTTATCAACTTTGGAAGAGGCTGCAGCTGGTGCGGGTACAACACCACCTGGCTAAACACGCACTACCAATCATAATTATCGCTAGCTAGATATTAGGCTGTTATTGTTAGCCCAATACAAAATATAAACAAATATGTGATAAAAACACACTAGCCATAAAGGTGGTGTTTCTACATTGTGTTATGATTGAGGAAACGAGTTATCTGGTCACCTGATTGGCAGTCTCCTTAATCATCGACAGTCATCTGTCTACCTCCTTTAGTTATCTAGAATCATCTGTCAAACTTCCTTAATCATCTAGAATCATCTGTCAAACTTCCTTAATCATCTAGTCACCTGTCAGCCTCCATTAATCATCTACAGTAGGTACCTATTACTGCTAGGTAAACAAAAGGCATCATATGAAAGGAGTAATTTTTTTTCCAAAATGCTTCTCTCCTACCGAAGGGATTCGAACCGGGACCTATATCGCGTGAGACCCGACTGCTTGATTATTGTTCCGCATTTCTATCAACTCTACAACCACGTTATTGCGACTCTTCTCGTGAGATTAAAATTAGGGTTTATATAATAGAGTTTTAGTCAATATATCATATTAATGTCTATAAGGCCTCTTGAGAAACTGTACCATTCATAAATATATCATTTATGCTCATTGCAATTTCTAATATGGCACCGAAATGCTGTCACCAAATTTATTTATTTATTTATAAATTCATTAATTACCTCTCCCACTCCATTATTGATATGCTGCATGGTGGTACATCAGACATGACGAGCATAACTTAAAAAGAACTATGGCACTATTATCACCAATAATTAACACAGTTATCACCATTTGCAGCCTTACCTGAGGAGACATAGGTAGCGAGGAGCGCGGGTAACCACAACACTAAACAAATTCGTAATCTTGTCATGACTGGTATTGTGTGTGGAGTGTGGCGGGAAGGTGAAGGGACGACATATATACCCCGTCGCTTATCTCTCTCTTGCTCACTAGTTCCTTCATGGAGTGAAATTTTATTCTGAAAATATTTAGTCGTGACGCAGACTAGCAGATGCACTAGCGGCATCCATTTATAGGTGCAGGTGTCCTGTGTTTAATAAGTGCAGTGGTCCTGAATTTAATAAGGAATATATGACAATCTCAATTATTTCCACCAATACGTATATTATTAACCATATGTGTTAACTCAAATGATTCGCAGACTTGGGTTGAGCAATGGCGGGTGTCACCATGACAACAGCTGCCTTGACAGGAAGAGAGTGGATATTTTTAAGAAACACTGATAAAGTCGGCTTCTTATTTCCAAACTGACGCAGGACAGTTATTGTTTCGAACACAGCTTCAATGTCACCATGATATATGTATCATGTATAAATTCATCAAACTGCTGTGGAGTTGCATCCTAGGGAGGGTCAGTAGTTTGATCTTGGGGTGACCTCGATACAAGGCAAAACACGGGGAGGAGAGTGATGGCAGTAACTTCCTTCTACTCCCAACATATCATTTGTCTTGAAAAAAAAATCCCTTCAGTATCAAGTGCGACATAAAAGTTTGCGATATCTATGGCATTGTTTACTCCCGGAAAACCTGACACAGTGAACTACTGAGGATTGAGAGATGAATATGGTCTACAGATGATAATTATAATATTATTATTTTTAGAATTATATTATTTTATTTTGTTGTTCGATTGTATTCAGTATCAGAAATTATTTACAAAGGTGGATATAGGAGTAGATCTCCATCTCTGTACACTTTGCGAAGAACTTGTACATTCTATGGTATGGCACCAGCTCCATAACCTAAAATAAGCCTTATAAAGGCATGATAAAACTGAAGAATTACATTAGATATCTTATTTCTAAAACCGTATTACAAATCTTGGGTATCCTATTTGCCTTATTTTCAACATTTACATGGATTTATTTGGTTAAGATTACTTAATCATGACACTTAAACCTTTTGGCATTTAGGTTTTGGCCATTATAGCGTTATCCAGCTGATATGTGGTCCCTCACTCATCACATGCTAGGATTCGACCCTACATTTGTCAGCAATAAACTCCGTCTTTCAATATTTCGCCCATTTTGAAAACCTAAGTCGTCTCACAGCGATTCGATTTTGTCTTTGAATTTACTAACAGCCTTATTTTGGCATCGTCAACAAATTTGGTAATTTGCTGTTTTATCATGGGATTAAATCGTTTAAATATATGGTAAGCAACACGACAGAGTCCAGGGACAATGCACTTACTCAAACATTAAATTCGTTTATGCTTACCCATTGTTTCCTTTAAAATAACCATACTCTGATCCATGTTAAGATAAGCCACCCTTTACACCTTGTTCTTCTACTTTTCAATTAGTTATTTAATGAAGAATAACTTCAAAGGTTTTGTAATGTCAAAATGTATTATGTTGCAATCTTTTTCTTTATCGACTACTTCATATATGATGGGAAAGAATAATAGTAATTTTTTAAACACAAGAAAAAGGTTGAACCCGGCAGTGCCTGGGTTTGTCTCTCCTTCTGTCTCGATCTCAGAAGTAGTAATACTGTAACCTAAACTAATTCCCGTTCATTGTTTTGAAATAAAGCATGAAAAATATGCTGGTAAACAATGGTCTTCAGCATCAAAACTGTGCGGTAAACACTACCTGACATTTCAGACGTCATGAAAATCGTAGAGGGTTTGATCTAGATTCCGATATTTCTTTAAGCATTACACTTAGGCCGACCCCGACTGGCCTATGGTACTCCAACCCATCCTCCTGTTTAGATAGTTACTGTTGTGACGGTCGTTAATAGTCACGAATCCATACGTTATTAGCTTTTAGATAGTAGTATAAGAACTAGTAAGGACTTTTGAAATAAATGAAGCTAAAAACAAACTTAAATATTCCCAGGTATAGCACACACATATACCATATTAGGCCTCAGATATCGTGTGTTAGGCCTAGGAAGGTTAGGTTAGTTTAGTTAATTTGTCAAAGCAACAAAAGTAAAAACTAGTTTTCCGGTTTGTCCAACTCAATAGTTCAGATTTCTACTTTCTAATTTCGTTGTACGTCGGTATATATACTATGGTCCTTGTCGTTACTATAAGTACTGTACTACCAAAACAGGAGGATGGGCTGAATACTCACATGCTCACCATGTGTGAAAGTTGGGTGAGGCTAGCCTCGGGCGTCTGGCCTCTGAACTTTGACACACACATTAGTTTTTATAAAAAAATTCAAGATATATATTTATTTGAATTGATACATCTGTTTAAAATTGGCATCACATTCACAACCTTCCATGAGTCCGGCAGTTTGTTTGACTAATAATTTTATTAACAATATGCAAAAGGGCTTACTAAGCTCTCCTATACATTCTCAAATATTTTGATTGGTCCTAGTGACTTGTTGGGCTTTAATTTTTCTATTATTTAATAATTTCCTCTCTGATAACCTCTAAGCAAGTCAGCTTGTCCTCTTCACCATCTCCATAGACTGGAATTTAGCTGCAAGTATAACATAGTTTTTTAATAAATACAGAGAAAGTACTTTTTTAGAATACCACTAAGTCCATTGTCATTATCAGCTGCCTGACCCATCTCAATGTTTAATGGCCCAGTTTTCTTCCTAATCTTTGTTTGATGTCTGAAAAAACTAGTTCTGTACTATATTTGTCTTTGCTGCTATACGAATACCATAATTTATTTTGGCTCTTCTTAATTCTTTTTCAAGATTTTGTTAGTTTGGTCACATATTTTAGATAAACTTCCCCGTTCATAATATTTATATATAATTTTTATTACTAACATCACCATCGTAATTCATTTTGTTGGGAGTGGAGGAGGGGGGGGACATGTTAGGCTTATATCGTGGACCTCCCCCCCCCCTCCACGTCGAAATACTGTCCCTTTCCTATCATACCACCCAACAAGTTAACTCCTGGGTAACTAGGTGAACAGGTGCATTAGGTAATAGGAACGTGCCTACCCATTTCTGCCCCCTCTGGGATTCGAACTCCGAGTTCCCGATTGAGTCGAGAACGAACCCGACTGTACTACGGGGACCCCACATCCCATGTTAATTACTAACGCCATATTTATCATTATTATTTAGTAAGTTTTCAAAATACTAAATTAGATGACAAAAATAAGGAAAAACAAGGAGTGAGGAGTGGAAGGTTCCCAGGCGTGTGGGAGGGCGCCATGTGTGGGAGGTGGGTGGTGACGTCCATCTCTGGGAGGCGGGCGAGAGTGGTCACCCACTTAAATGGCTGCTCATCACACCCACCTGAGGGTGGGGGGAGGATGATGGGGCACTATAATTAATGTAGCGGGCGACGATAGTGATCTACTCCCTTCACCCATGTGGGACACCAGTTTTGACGGAGGGCATTATTGCTTCGACGACCCAGGGAACAGTTGAGTGTTTCATTGAGGTCAGTCGTAGGGACAAAAGATAGGAAACAGGCTAAAAGTGTTTTATCCCCTTGACTATATGGTGCCGGGACCTCCTCCTATAGGGATGAATCATGTGGTCCTTATGTGCACCAAGGCGTATATCATATATGTATATTACACAAAGGCTGCATGAACGCGCGAGTCATCAATCACCAAGATCTCTCTTGACTGGAACTCCGTCGACCAGGATCACTCCCTAACATACAGGTACTAGAACCACTATACCAATATTTCGTAATAATCAACACATCTTCAGAACGATGAATATTACAAGTCAGCTATGCCTGGGTCGACCATAAAATATTGCACCAATCAAGTGCTCGGAGCCTCCCAGAACGCAAATCATGCTGACAGAAAATGAGTCTCGAATGTCAATATCAGAATTTTGTAGTATTATGAGATGTTGAAACTCTATGGACCTGACAGCCACATTTCATCTCTATGGACTTCATGGAGTTTGCCATAATAGCCGACACCCCTTAGAGAGAACACTGGGCCCACCTCATTTTGAATTACGTCCACTTTTGGCCATACCGCGCATGCGAGCGTAATTTTAGGAGGACGGGTTGGACCCCGACCCGTTTATGATAGTCCGGTAACACCCACCAGTTACCCTGCAAAGTTTAATGCGGTTACCCCGAAGTGTGTGACTTCCAATTCTGGACAGACATTTATTTTTTAGTGTCAGCTATGAGTACACTGTTAGTTGTGTACAGTGTCAACTGTGAGGATAGTGTTAGATGTGTGCATAATGTACAGTGTCAGCTGTGAGTACAGTGTTAATTTAAATATGTCTAGTGTCGGCTGTGAGTAAAGTCAGTTGTTATATGCGATGATTATCTAGTGCGTTACTCGTGTCTGCTTCTGGTATGTGTGTATTTTATAATATGTACAAAATTAATGATGCGATTGGTCATAAAAATGATTAAGATAAATTAGTAATGTTGAATCGGAAATTATTGGACTTACGGTCATGAGATGATGTCATAATTACGTCACATCCTGTGGAATATCTATTTTTTTGGGGGGGGGGCGGGGAATTAATCATTTATGTAATTATAACAGATATGATAACATCTGTTATCTTTAGTTGTATTCACTCCCCTCCCCTGTGTCACCCAATTCTCCCTCCCTCCGTCATTACCCATTTTTTATCGTTCACATAATAAAGCTTTTAACCTAGTTCATTGTTACACGCCCATATACATCTCTTTACTCATATCCACCTAAGCCACATCCTCCTCATATCACCCATTCAAGCCACATCCTCCTCATATCACCCATTCAAGCCACATCCTTCTTCCCAACCGCCCCCTGCATCAGTTGTCGGGTCCCAGGGGTACACACACCTGTAGATATATGGTAGGTATGTCAGAGCTCAAACGCCGCCGCCACACTCATGTCACACTGCCATATAGACACGTGTTGACGCAGCAGGGTTGCGATAGCTGCTCTGATACGCTGAGACAACGCAGGTCTTGGGATCTCAAACACCTGATACCACCCACCTATCCTGCCACACACAAAAAACACCTGCCTGATGACACCACCACCACCACGGCCTCTTTTTCATTAAAGTCAAAGTTAGATTAAAGGCATTAATAGGAAAGTGGAAGGGGTTGACAAGAAATATTGGAGGAGGTGGCAGAAAATACTGAAGAGGGGCGGGGGTGGGGGGGGGGGGGAGTGATGATAATGTGGATGACACAGACATGTGGGGAAAGTTGGAAGCGAAAACGACATTACGGTTGTGCAAAACGATCTACATAAACTCCACAAATGGTCAGAAGACTGGCAAATGTGTTGCAAATATTAAAAATTGCACGACTCTGCTTGTAAGGCTTAACAATACCCCTCATAACTACCATGACAAGAACATGATCATTCAGCAGATGATAAACAGCTATAGTCATTGAGCTGTTTAGCAAGTAGGAAATGCAATCAACAAAATAATAATAATAGACAGTAGTCTCAGATGAGCCTTTGGCTTAAAAAGAAATCTGTGGTTATTCAGCTGTGTTAATTTGTCATTCGTAATATAACGATCCTCTGGAATCACCTATACCTGCTGAAGCTGTAAATACCAAGACAGTTCGAAAGCTCAGAATTTGAAATAAATCTTCCTGTTCCCGCCGAGGCCACTAAAGATGGTGGCTCTCTGGTAAATTCAGGTAAATAATGTTGAAGTAAAATAGCATAATCATCATTCTCCAAACTGAGTCCTTAAGAATGTTATCTCGGAATTCACCTATTGCAGGTGCTGTATAGTTGAGAATCATTGGCAGGTTACAAACAAGTGCATACAGAGGCAACACATGCTGTACCTACAGCAGGTGGTGAGGCAGCTGGTCCTCACTGTAGTGGCATCATGCGAGGTGTACAAGTGTGCTGGTGGCGACACGTAGGTGATCAGGCAGGCTGTTCTCGCCAACGTTCCCAACGTCAAGAAACTTGTCTAACTAAAGTGTCCATATCCTAACCTCCCAGGGGACCTACCAATAGAAAACGGGACAGTATGTCAATTTCGTGAACCACTATCATTTTCTAGTAGGATAGTTTTGTTGGTCTTAGGTAAAGTTACGGCAAAATGCTTCGGTTTGGGTGGCCTTCTGCTTCCTGTCCCTGTTGGGGGTGCAAGGAAGTACAGTAGTTGGGTATTATTATTATTTCAGTAATTCAGTAAGTAGTCTCCGTGGTGTAGTGGTAAGACACTCGCCTAGCGTTCCGCGAGCGCTATGTCATGGGTTCGTATCCTGGCCGGGGAGGATTTACTGGGTGCCATTCCTTAACTGTAGCCTCTGTTTAACGCAACAGTAAAATGTGTACTTGGATGAAAAAACGATTCTTCGCGGCAGGGGATCGTATTCCAGGGACCTGCCCGAAACGCTACGCGTACTAGTGGCTGTACAAGAATGTAACAACTCTTGTATGTATCTAAAAAAAAAAAAAAAAAAAAAAAAAAATTAAGTATATTCATGGTATATACAGACAATGTCAGTCAATTTATGAGTAGTGTTTTTAAGCCTAACATACTATTAGTGCAAATAATCATTAATATTCTTGATTTTTTATGAGGAAATTATCTGCCAATTTCTTATAATGTGTGTATGTTGCTTCAACCCGTCCTCTCGAATAGTACATTGTATTTAGACGTTGGAAACCTTTGACAAGTTGCCGGCTTCCTGTCCTCGTCGAGGCCACTAGTATTAGTGGCCCTTGGGTAAATCCCCAACGTCAAAATATGCTGTACTATAAATTATAGCGGCCAACAAAACTGGCGGGCTGTCTCGTGTTCTATTCGTGGGTCCTCGATTAGGTTAGGTTCGGGCAATTTAGTACATCATTTTTGTATCGTTGTGACCACTGGAGAGGCTGGGCTGGATCGTTATGCCAGCAGCGTTGAGGTTTCTGTTTACATTTTTGCTGAAATATATAAGGACAACAAAGTGATATTTTAATCATGGTGGATAGTCAAGTGTGGTTCTCTAATGAGGGCGTTGATTCACTCCAGGTTTTCTCATGCGTAATGTACCTGTTCATTACCAGCAGAAGTTTAAGGTCCTGTCTTTCACAGAGAGCAAATTAATACAAATGCAGTATCAGTTGTTTATCACGTCTGGTGCACAAAAGGTATCCATTCTGAGACAATTGATAATGATAATGTTTATTTAGGAAAAAGTACATACATACAATAAGTTACAAGCAGAATGTTGGATTTCTAGATAGAGCTAGTATATACTGTACTATGCCAAAAGCCACTAATATACACAGCGTTTCGGGCAAGGTGTGTTGGGGGGGGGGGGGTACAAAACTTAAAGTAAATGAGAACAAAAGCATGAATTGAACTGAAGTAGCAAAAAAGAATGGCAATAATTACATGTTGAATGGAACAACAGAAATTGCAACAGGATAGTAATTTTAGCTAAATAGAGGGACTACAATTTTATTTTTAAGTTTATACATGGCATATACCAGCAGTTTTACAAGTTAGTCATTAATCATTAATGTTTGATAATAGCAAGACATATGTTGACATTTAGGAGTTAAGGTATGTTACATGGAGTTGATAAGGTAGTACTGTACAGTACAGTACTTAGTTTTTATCTTAAAATGGTGTAGAGAGGGGCAGTCTTTTAAAGTGATTGGGAAGATCATTCCACATTTTGGGACCCTTGATTTGCGGAGCATTTCTACTTTGGTTAAGTCACATTCTTGAAATATTAATATTATTATCAAATTATAAATGCTAATTTTACCACAGCTAATAAATTACTGTATATACTTTCAGGTCTGTTTATATACGTATTGTAATTATATGCTGTAATTATAAACTTAAAGACCTCCTTAGTTGTGTCTTATGGTGTCTAATCCATGCTTCCTTCTTATCCTGTAACAATGCTGTATTACCATTTATACAGCCTCAGCAACAATATATCTGGAGTATGTCACTTGTCAAAATACAGGTGCTTGTTTCTACACCATTATAATCAGAAAATATGTTAGATTCTATTTTTTTTCGTATTTCCTAGGGGTTTTTGGTAGATTTGGGTAATTCTATGGAAACCATTAATTGTGCATGTTTGCAAACAACTCTCCTGGGTTCGATGAGGTGTCTGCATTTTACCTGAATATACCTGAGGGTCACCATCTATAGTGGCCTTGACAGGGCCAGGAAACGGGCAACTTGTCAAATATTTTCCATACCATTATTCATGAGTTTTTAAGTAGAATTTTTGAAACTCTGGAATGTCTTAGCATTTATAACTTCGACGAATAGGCAGTTCCAAGGGGTTTACTGTAATTTGTTTTATTGAGGACATGAAGCCTGTGTATAGTATACAGTACTCTATATATTTTATGTTTGTATGGAGATCTTCCCAAGGTCAAACTAATGACTCTCCCCAGGGTGCAGCCCCACAACAGTTGCCTAACTCCCGGGTCCCTAGTTACTGCGTGGTAAACAGAGGCATTAGGAGAAAGGAAACGTTCCCGACCATTTTCGGCCCACCAGAAAATTGAACTCTAGGATCTCTGATAGGGAGCTAAGAATGATACCAATTGTACTAAGAGATCCTCTGGGTTAAAAAAAAAAAAAAAGATTCGCCTGTTTTCTGTCCTACATTGTAGTATGTTGAGTTTGGAGCTGGTACCCCTTGTGTGCATTAAATTGGATATTTTAAAGATATGGTCTGGATTAATATCCCCCAACTTGTTCAGTGTTTTATAGTTTTTGATGAGATCAGCACTATCTTGTCTAGTTAGCAATGTTAAGTTAATCAGATTTTATTTTTAACATTACCGAGATGATTTTTTCATTTATAATGTACCCCATATCTATCCTATACATGATAATGGACAGAGGTACATAATGAGCTCATGAACTGAACCCCCCCTAATTCATTTAGCTAAGTAACAATCTTGATAGGCTATGTGCCTATAAATGCTTCACAGTGTCATTTCTTTTAATGTATGTACATATAGTAAACAGGTATAAATAAAAATTCTTCTTAAATTACTAGGTAGAATACCAATTGGTCATCTCTCTCTCTCACAAAATGCAATGTTATAAAAAAATTTAAAACTGTTCAGACATTGGCTTCCTGTACTCATCGAGACCACTAGTGTTTGTAACCCTCAGGTAAAGACTGTATGATTAATGATTTTATGGTATTTTAATAAAACATGCATGGTTAATTCATATAAATTTATTGAAGAAATGTACAAAATGAATAGAAAACATTCCTTACCATAAACATCTGGGGCTTGAGAAATGTTGTCATCATTTTTATATCTGCACGTATACAGTAAATAAGACACAGTGTGAATTATTAGTTTTGTGCAATAAAAGGAACTGATTTCAGGTATATTTTATATATTAAAAGCATCAATAATACTAAACTAGGTTTTATCAACAATTAATTTAAATAAATGCCAGCCTCTTTTAAGTGGCTTTTATATAAAATTGATAAATGCACTTGCTTGTCATATTAAAAGCAATTAAAGTGAACATTTCACTTAATTGAGCATTTAATTGTCATGATCCTAAGTTGGAGGCATGGCAGAAGAGATGAGTTTTAGACTATTTGACTCCCTAATGACTTTCTGGGTTGTACTTTACTTGGAGATACTGTACCAAGTACTATCAAGGTATCACAAGTTTCATGAAGTAATCTTGCAACATACAGTATACTCTTTATTTATGTTAGGCAAGTCGTACCTCAAGACAAAAACCTAAAGCAATGATAATGTGTTTTTAATAACCGTTGTCCAAGTGAAAAGTTTGCCAGCCAAACAAATGATGGAAACTTGTATCATTATCTTTGCCAAAAGTTATCAAAACAGTCAAGAACTTCACTCTCTTGCCATACCTAATACCTTATATATTCTGGAAGATAAGCTTAATACTATGTTACCATTTTCATCTTAGTAAGCTTAAACCAGCAAGCTAATACATTGTGGTGGTCCTCAGCTGTGTGTCTTTCCAACTCTTTGGGGGGTGATCTTACCAGTTTCTTAATACCCAAACTTGAGTGGGTGTCAGTGGTTGACACCTGATTGGTCACATCTCTAGTGAGATTCAACACTGTTACTCAAGTGAGGTTTAAGAATATGGTAATGAAAGATCTCAAGCATCAAGAAAATATTGAGGCTATACAATGGGAATGAATCTCATCGTATGGCCTTAGTATTTTCTCATATACATCATATTCTTGTGATTTCCTTCTGTATCTCAGGCATTTATAATAATAATAAAAGTAGAAGTAAAGATTTCTTTGGCTAAAGCTAGAGAATTACCCTGTGACTTCCCAACTGGGTGCCCTCAACAGTCAGTGTTCAAGCTGTAACTTTCGTGGCCCTAATATTTCAGTTAGTGAATTAATCATTAACTTAATGTAGGGACTGAAAGCAATTCTTTCACTTTGCTTTCGTTTCTTACACACATTTTGACTGTTGCTGTTCCTCCTTCAGTCTCAGAGCCAGCAGACTGTGGCTTCTATTTTATATAACAGTTTTTATTTGGGTTTCTTCCTACTGTTTTTCTTGTGTTTGTAATATTTACTTATATTGCTAAGACTTTATACTGGGCAACTCTAGTTCATTATTTCAGATCAACTTTGTTCCATATTCCCACTAGTTACTATGTTATCATTGTATTCTGTCTGGTTACTGAATTATCTTCATATTCCATCCTGTTATTATATTATCTTTGTAGTCTCTCTTGAAAGTTTATTATTGTTGTATTCCATCTGGTTACTTTATTATCTTTGTATTCTCTCTGGTGCCCATATTATCTTTGTACTCCCTCTGATTAACGTAATACAATATCTCTACATTTCCGCTGGTTACTGTATTACAGTACAGAATCTCTGTATTCCCTCTGGTTACTGTATTACCTTTTTATTTCCTCTGGTTGGTTACTGCATTATCTTTGTATTCCCTCTTCTTATCATATTATCTCTATGGTCCCCATGTCTTGCTAATACTCGTTATCTTCCTCATCCTGGTTTGAGTCCTGGGCTACCTCTTCATAGTCGTGCTCCAGCGCTGCCAAGTCTTCACGAGCCTCAGCAAACTCTCCTTCTTCCATGCCCTCCCCAACATACCTATGAAAGACATGACACTTTTAGAAGGGGGCATTATAGATCAGGGGCCAGATTCACGAAAGCACTTACGCAAGCACTTACGAACGTGCACATCTTTCCTCAATCTTTGACGGCTTTGGTTACATTTATTAACAGTTTACAAGCATGAAAACTTCCCATTCAACTGTTCTTATTGTTATTATTAACTGAATTCATTATTAACTGAATTAAATAACAATTCTTATTGCTCATTAACTGTTTATTAATTGGAAACAAAGCCGCCAAAGATTGAAAAAAGATGTATAGGTTCGTAAGTGCTTGCATAAGTGCTTTCCTGAATCTGGCCCCAGATTTGTATTACGAGAATAGTTGAAAATGTTCTAGTAAGAAGGAGAAAATTGTATGCTGCTTTTATGGATACAGAAAAAGTATGACTAGGTGGATCTAGAAAAAGGTGAAGGATTAGATTGATCTTGAAGCATGGATGGAGACTTTGTAAGTTTATAAAGCTGTAAAGAGCTTATTAATTACAGTAAAATCCTTTTGTATGTACATCAGAGCTTATGTGAGCATAGAGGAAACAATAAGAAAGAATGTTAAAATTAAAAAACACCTGGAATAGAAATCATTGTTGACTGTGATGACAAATTTATATTATTGAAATAACATGTGTATACAAATGATACCAAGTTTTTTGTTGAAAGTAAGGAAGAATTGCAATAGATTGTGAGCCTGATACAGTGTGCATAGAAGAAAGCTGATGATTATTGTTGGAAAAAGTTATGGTGTTCAAGAGATTATAATGATATACTAGTATTGTGGCTTTTATAAGTACAGGAGCATAATGAAATGAAGAAATGTTAGTACAGTATACAGGTTAAGAAAGGATTGAGATTAGTACATTACTCCCAGCCCTGATATGGAAGTGACACATCTGTATGGAAAGTAGCAAAGTGCTTAAGAGTACAAGCAGTGAAAATAAGTTTTATGAGAGAATCAGCTGGTTTAAAGATGTAGGAATGATACAGCAAAGGGAATGTTTATGAGAAATGTGGTATGAGTGAAAGGATTGAGGAGATGAAATGTGGAGTGGATGAAGCACAATACACTGAGGTAGTATGGACAACTAGACATTTTAGTAGCATGCTTGAGTGGCTTAAAGAAAAAGGTGTACAAGGGTGAAATAAAGGGGTCATACAGTAGGGGCAGATGACTAGCATCTTGAAAGGGAAGAATGGAAGGTTTGGGAAAAAGGGATAGAGATATTGAAAGAGTGAAGGGTTTGTGTGGTGACAATCTCCTGAAAAATCTGCAATGGCCATCCCAATGGGTAGCTTACACACTGGAATATGGTGTCAGAACTACAGATAAATAAATTTTTGTATATATTTATGCACTCATAAGTTAATATATTCATCCACTTTCTAATCAAAACCATCCAATCATAATCATCCATTCATGCATTAATACTTTCACTCACTTTTCCATTCAGATAACCATCTTTGACTGATGTGGAAACTTTGAGTACTGACCAGTGAACAAAGGCTCGCTTGGAGTACATAAGATCAAACTTATGGTTCAGTCTGGCCCAGGCTTCGGCTATGGCTGTTGTGTTGGAGATCATACACACCGCTCGCTGGGTTGGGGCCATGTCTCCATTGGGGATCACTGTGGGGGCCTGGTAGTTAATACCAACCTGTTGGACAGAGAGAAGTCAATATGAGATATTAGGGTATGGGGAGCTAGGTAGTTCATTCCATTTTATGGAGAAAATGGGTCAAGAGAAAGTGAGGAGTGGAGATACAGTACCTTAAAAAGTCTATTAATTGATCCCAAATTATTGGGAGGAAATTGGAGGAAGTAAATTTTGAAAGGGACAATAATGAACTGGCCTAGCAACAAGCAATCTGTAAGAAAGAGAGCATAAATTATAATGTCAGAACTTGCTGTTGACAAAACTGGAAATGGAAAAAATTAATTGATTAAAGTGACAATCTTTTGGTGGTTGTAATGCATCCTGTACCAATTATAACACTAAAATCACTTTCAACCTGTCAAGGCTGCCAATCTTCTTACCTTGAATCCTGTTGGACACCAGTCAACAAACTGAATCTGTCGCTTAGTCTTTATGGCAGCGATAGCAGAGTTGACGTCTTTGGGTACTACATCTCCACGATACAGTAGACAGCAGGCCATGTACTTTCCTGTAAGAAGTACTGTAATTACCACAAGTACAGCATACAAGATAAAGATTACTGTGATCTTATACACCACTTCCTATACATCCCCAAAAACACAAAACCTACTATGTTATAATAATAATAATAATTCATGATAATTTATGATAATTTATGATAATATTCATACGTTGAACATGAGACACTGGTATAATTGTAGGTAAAGGGGTTGCACATAAAATCAAGTCATTACTACACAAAGCATTTCGGACAAAATTTAGAATACTGTACTTCAAATAAAAATGATTTCAAGATATAATGGGGTAAATACTTAATACAAAATAAATGTCACATGCAGTTTAACAGGTGCTAGAACACATACAATAACCATACAATGACATCATTGTGTTCAGCATTTTCCCTAATTTATCAAAATTCTAATTTTGAAGTGCAGTAATAAGAATATTATAACTGAAAGTCACATTTTGCTTCAGACCATTTTTCGTATTAAAAAAGATTTATGCATTGTTTAGAGATAATGTACTGAATTTGGGGAACTTTACTTTCCATATGTTTAATGATAAGATGTACATATGAACCATTTAAATTATGTATTATTAAATTACATTTTATTGGCACAAAATGCACAGTTAATACAATTTCAGTAAATGATGCTACATATAAGCTTATAAAATACAGTATAATTATTAAAAAAAATTATGTCTTCTTTAGATGTATTCAAATGGCAAAACAATTTATGATAGAATATTGCAGTTTTTATTTCTGTCAAAAAGGAATGGGATGACTGACCTCGCCTGGGGTCACACTTGACCATCTGGTTGTTGGGCTCAAAGCAAGCATTTGTAATCTCCGCAACAGACAGTTGTTCATGGTAGGCCTATGGGAGGAGGTGTGGTCAATGTCTGTATACAATGATCATTATTATCTTACTCATATTAATAAAATATAGAATTTATATTATGTCTAATGGTTCATCATACCAGCCTTGATCAGCCATTGTGCAAAATGGCATTATTCAGTATACTTATTGTTTAATTTGTCCTTTGATAGCTAAATCTTACGTACACGTGATGCCTCGTTAATTACTATTTACCAATAAAAGCGTATTAACTGCATAATCAGAGACTCACTGCACGTATTGAAACTAAATAAACAATGATAATGTGTGATATATTGTGTTGTCAGCTTGAAAGATAATTGTCAGCTAATAGTAAATCATCATCCATTAGAGTGTTATCTTGGAAATAGAATAGGTCTTTGGCTGACCTTCTCGACACTGAGGACGGGAGCGTAAGTGACCAAGGGGAAGTGGATGCGAGGGTAGGGCACCAAGTTGGTCTGGAACTCTGTCAAGTCGACGTTAAGAGCACCGTCGAATCTGTTGGCATTACCCACACCATCAGCTGAATCATTTGTGTTTAGGATAACAGCTAAGGTTCTCTGGATTATGTTCAATATCATATGCATCAATTTTTTTTATGTTTATCTATATGTCAGAGGCTTTGCAAGAATATATTTTTGAAATACAAAAAACATGTACTGTATATACAATATATTTATATATATAATTATGAATTATATATATATATAATTCATAATTATATACTGTATATAGATATTGACAGTAACTCCTAAGTGTACCTGAGAGAGGCAGTTATGGAAGACACAATCTGGCCGATCAAACGGTTGAGGTTCTCATATGAGGGGCGCTCGATGCCCAGGTTTCTGCGGCAGATGTCATAGATGGCCTCATTGTCAACCATGAAGGCACAGTCAGAATGCTCCAGAGTAGTGTGTGTTGTCAAGATGGAATTATAAGGTTCAACCACTGCTGTGCAAATCTGAGGCATGGAAATGAAAGCGATCAGGCTTAAAAAAAACCTGCATGTGCGAGTTGCATATTTCTTCCCTTCATATATAGACATTAAAACTCAGAAGTGGCTAGTTTATCTGAGACATACCTGGGGGGCAGGATAGACAGTAAACTGAAGTTTGCTCTTCTTTCCATAGTCCACCGAGAGTCTTTCCATGAGGAGGGAGGTGAATCCTGATCCAGTACCTCCACCGAAGGAGTGGAACACAAGGAAGCCCTACGGGAAGTACCCAAATAATGAATAAAGAACACACAATTGGATATCATGCCCTACAGTTAAACCTAGAATCTGAAATTATATCAGTCCAAAGCACTACACAAGCGTTTTTGTATACTTAAAGAAATCGTGTTTGATATTACTGTATCTACATGGCAATGATATTGAATCACTCCTTTTCCAAAATGCATTCAATAATATTAATAAAGTATTATAACATATTAATTTACCTCTTGACAAGTTCTCTGCATTTACACACAAACTGTATCAGTGAATGAATGAATTTTGCCATAGCAAGCAATGGTCAAACCAAGCACACCCAGACAGACCTCATTTGTAGACGAATTCCACATCTTTAATCCTACCCAAAGAATCATTTTAGCAAGCAGGTATACCATACATCTGCCACCCTGGTCCACTACCGGTATTAATATTATGACTGCCTCACCTGGAGACCAGAGCAGGCATCTGCCATCTTCCGCATTTTGTCAAGTACAAGGTCAACTTGCTCCTTGCCAATGGTGTAGTGGCCCCGGGCATAGTTGTTGGCAGCGTCCTCTTTCCCATTGATGAGCTGCTCCGGGTGGAAGAGTTGACGGTAAGGTCCAGTGCGTACCACGTCTGCACAGTTAAGCAAGGCAAATAATTTTATTGCAGCAATCTTCATACAGTAATTTGGGATTTTTAAATTTTCATAAAAGAAAATTGTAGACATTTATGAATTACTGCATGTAGTTTATAGGACTTTGCCCAAATTACTTAAGTGTTGTAAACTGAAGTTGGAATTACTCTACACATAATTAATAATAATAATAATAATAATAATAATAATAATAATAATTTATTCACAAGAAGGTACAATGTGTTCGTGAGATTACATAAGATTGGTATTTGTACATTCTTGCAAAGCCATTAACACCCATAGCATTTCGGGCAGGTCCTTAATCTAACATATCAGGTAAGGTGAAAAGGTACATTAAAGCAAGGGTTTTATATAATAAAATAACAACACTATAAATTGACAGAGGTGACTACACTGGTAAAGATACAACAGCACCTACATAAACTCAGAAATCCTTGCTTAATGAACACAGTTGTGGCAGAAATGTCTCCGGGATCACACACTCTGTCTCCTCCATCTTGAGAATGTGGACAACTAAAACTGCCCCATCACCAACCTATTCATCATCATTCTTCCCTTGAGAACAAACAATTCCCTACCTATTATAACATGGCTAATACAAATAAATACAACTCTCATCAGGATCAATACTGCAGACAGGAATATAGAGTGCATCCATTGAGACAAAGATTAGTTACAGGTCAATGTTGCATTGTTGGGCAGGGTATATATTATCAGGGCACTGTGACATACCACCACTATGACCAGTGCCCATTTGAAACCCCATAAACAATAGGAGGATATAGGTTATGGAGCAGGTGTATGGTGGTTGTATACAGGGTGGGTATAGGGCTTGCAGGGTGGGGGAGGGGAAGGTAGATCTAGGGTGTGTACTCCCCTAGTTATGCTTGCGCGGGGTCGAGCTCTGGCTCTATGGTCCTGCCTCTCAACCATCAATCAACTGGTGTACATATTCCTAAGCCTACTGGGCTCTTATCATATCTACATTTGAAACTGTGTCTGGAGTCAGCCTCCACCACATCACTGCCTAATGCATTCCACTTGTTAACTACTCTTGACACTGAAAAAATTGTTTCTAATGTCCCTGTGGCTCATTTAGGTACTCAGTCTCCACCTGTGTCTCCTTATTCGCGCACCACCCATGTTAAACAGTTTATCCTTATCAACCCAATCAATTCCTCTTAGAATTTTGTAGGTAGTGATCATGTCTCTCCTGTGTATGTGGGTGGACTGGTGGTGGTGGTGTGTGGGTAGGTGGCCTGGTGGTGGTGGTGTGTGGGTAGGTGGCCTGGTGGTGGTGGTGTGTGGAGGGGTGGGCTGGTAGTGGTGGTGTGGGTGGGTGGCCTGGTGGTGGGATGGACATAGGGTGTGGGTGGGCAGGTAATAAAATATTAATATAAAAAGTGACATTGAGCTATAAATTATAATTATTATAAAGTAGTTATTATTGTTACTGTATTATAATTATTATAATAAGAGCCAGCAAGTAGGTGATAAACTCCCGGGACGCTGCACGCCAGATTTGTCTAATTTATTTGTACAGTATTGTATTAATTTTTTTATTTTATTTATGCCCAGAACATTTCTTGTATTTAAAATGGCTAACGGTATCAATACGAACCTTTCTGCTATGATCCTACATAAGTGTTGTCAGCTTTAAGCTAATAAAATGATGCATTGGCACCATTATGCGTTAGATGACATCCCATCACCCAGACAAAAGTTTCAAGGAGGTAAAGAGAATGAATTTAGGAATATAACCATAACATGCGACATAATCAGGAAGTACATTTACAAACTAAAATACTCAAAAGCCCCAGTTGTGGATGGAATTCAATCCAAAGTCCTAAAGGAACTGAAGGAAGAACTATGCCTACCTCTGAAATTACTTTTCACAAAATCTCTGGACGAGATAGTCCCCCTAGATTGGAAATATGCAAATGTCATCCATATTTTCAAAAGAGGCAGAAAGAGCAGAATAAATATATATAAATATAAATATATACTGATATATATAATTTATATATATATATATATACTGTATACAGAGACACGAACCAAGTACTGACCTACTACGGTGGGCTCCAGGTCGACGTATATGGCTCTGGGAACATATTTGCCTCGTCCGGTCTCCTGGAAGAAGGTGGTGTACATGTTCTCCTCGTGAGGAGCATCTTCAGCTGCAGGAAGGGAAAGTTAGATCAAACATGTGAGAGATCATGCTCCCTGACTCATCCATGTGTACACACATTTACCACCTCTCCCTATAAGGGTTTTGCTGGAAAAGTAACTGTCAATTATATATATTGTAGTTCTAAATAACATATTAAAAGGCAATATATACAAACATACACATTTTACACACTATACATATATATATATGTACATATATATATATATATATATATATATATATATATATATATATATATATATATATATATATATATTAATGTGTGCTTATTTGTCAGAACCAGATATTATTCATAAATATATTTGTGTTTTACCTGAATTTACCTGAGAGCCACTAACACTAGTGGCCTCGACGAGGACAGGAAGCTAGCGGCTGTGTATGCTCCCCTCCCCCCATTTCCTTGACCTTTTGATTCACCTAACTTTGTCTTATTGAAACTCCATATATGGCTTGTATATATTTATATTATGCATTCAAACAGCTGAAATCCTGGAGCTAGGCTCCTCCCACTGATTGGCATATGTGTTATCTTTGGGAACAAAGGCCCGACATCACACTATCTGATAAGAAGCTTAGCATTAACCGCGAGGATGCTCTGCTAATCTAACATTTAAATTTACTCAGCTCATGGTATCTTATATATATATATATATATATATATATATATATATATATATATATATATATATATATATATATATATATATATATGTCGTACCTAGTAGCCAGAACTCGCTTCTCAGCCTACTATTCAAGGCCTGATTTGCCTAATAAGCCAAGTTTTCCTGAATTAATATATTTACTATAATTTTTTTCTTATGAAATGATAAAGCAACCCTTTTCTCTATGTATGAGGTCAATTTTTTTTTATTGGAGTTAAAATTAACGTAGATATATGACCGAACCTAACCAACCCTACCTAACCTAACCTAACCTATATTTATAGGTAAGGTTAGGTTAGGTAGCCAAAAAAAGCTAGGTTAGGTTAGGTTAGGTAGGTTAGGTAGACGAAAAAACATTAATTCATGAAAACTTGGCTTATTAGGCAAATCGGGCCTTGAATAGTAGGCTGAGAAGTGCGTTCTGGCTACTAGGTACGACATATATATATATATATATATATATATATATATATATATATATATATATATATATATATATATATATATATATATGTGTGTGTGTGTGTGTGAATATTTTTTACACAGGTTGATACAGGAACAAACGAGGTCTGACTCCTGTTAGCAGACTGAGAACTTTCCCATCCCTTGGCTCATGGTAAGCCTTACACACTAGTTTCCCTGGAGTACGACCCGCCAATCGTTTAACAACCAGGTAAACAATCACTGCTGGATGAACAGATGCGTGCAGTTAAGAATTGGTGCCTAGTCAATCCTCCCCGGCCAGGATACGAACCTACGTTCGTATCAATTTATTGATCAATTGATTGTAAGTTATTGATCACTTTAATATGATGCCTTAGAAGTGAAAAGGACCAACTTATCATACAGTCATACAATTTGGTGTTGAAAGGATTGACTGAATAGATCAATTTTAATCCATTGTACTGATGATACTGATTAAGAAAAAGGCACTAAGTCGGTATAACATTAAGATCTGGTATAAGATATTAGTAAATATTATAGAGATAATACATGCATATTGATATTCAATGGTATTATTCTTAGGGGACTATTACAGCATAATAATAACTAGTGTTTAATTATGATTTAGATTATAATTTAATTTATTTCTACGGAAATAAACAATCCGAAAAAGCCGTAAACAGTAATTATCATAAGCCAACTGTGAACTACAACTGATGATAACCCAGACTAAATGGGGGAAGGTATTACCTTAAGAATTCTTAATTGTCTTTAAATTTTAGGACGCACTTTGGAGTTATATAATATAAAAGGGATTAATAAAAAAAGTGTGATAGAGATGAACAAAAACGGGCTACAAGATTGTTCACAGAGTTCATAAGGTCAATTAGCCGTAATTATGAGCTTCGGCCCATCTGGGAGGGTTTTCTTGAGCGTTAAAAAAATTAGAAATGTTGAGGATTGTAAACATAGCAACAGAATGTCTAAAGCGGTGTTCAAACATGGTAGCTGGAAGTGTTTACCGAGATTTACAAACATGGTAGCTAGGAATGTTTACTGAAGCGTGCAGACAAGTTGTATAAGTTTACCTAAACGTGAGAAAATAACTAGTAGTGTACAATGAAACATCTGAACATTATGATAGGTTACCGAGTGTTCATTAAAGTATTATGGAACATGAAACAGGTATATGATAGAGTGTATTTGTGGTGTGGTGTATGTACTGTGGTGGTGTACTCACACAAGTGGCCGTCGGGCTGGATGCCGTGTTCCAGGCAGTACAGCTCCCAGCAAGCGTTGCCCATCTGGACACCGGCCTGGCCGATGTGGACACTGATACACTCCCGCTGCAAACCAAACAATAAACACAGTGAGACGGTGAAGTGCATAAGCGAATGACTTACAAACAGAACAAATATATGGGGGGTAGAAATAGCCTAAGCTACTCTATCCCTTTGAGATGTATTTCTTTCTTATCTCAATAAACATACTTGAACAGAACAAATAAATAATGCCCAAATACATAATCCTTTGCTTTGGTTAAACCTTAAGCAAAGGAAAATATGGATAACTGGGCTATAATAAAGAGAGCGTAGATATTCTTCTTTAATAATAGGAGAGAAAAGGTAATTCACTTTATTTTGGAGAGAAAATAGGCAGCTCACATTACTAATTATTGGTATACATATTGTTACAATAAAAAGCTCACTTCTTATTTCTTGATGAACACTTGAACAGGCGAGTGTAAGTGTGTGTACCTGGGCGTGCGCGTGTTAACAAGATAAATTAATGCTTCCATATCAGACCAATAACCCTAAGTGGGTGTTGCGTGCGTGCATGCGTGACAATACCCGCGCCTGTGTGACACGTTGCAAGAACGATAATGGCAAGAGACCGGCACACATACATACACATACATCACACTTGATGAAAGTGAGTGAGCCGGAGAAAACAGATCACGCATAATTTAAGAAAATGTTGCCTGTCATCCTCATAGCAAAAACGATATTGGAACGGGAGTCAAACCGATGCACACGATAAAATTGTTATGCAAATTTTGATCGTGTATATGAACACGATAATAACATCTCTGTAACTCAAAATAAAACTTTCACTCATTTCCATTTACTGCATATTGGTTTAAATAAGCAAAGGGCAAGTTTACATCTACCTGTATAAAGACAGGAAGCTTGCGGCTTGAGAATTAACGGTGCCCTAAGTCTTTCTCTTGTGTTTACCAGAAAAATTTGTCACCATCACTATTGGTACGGGCGGCTTGGCCAGGAAAACTGTTCCAGAAGTATGTTGCTGTCTGAGAGAAAAATTTCCTTCCTAAATACAGAAGAATTTCTCCTGTAGAAATTCTCCAGTGCAGAACAACAGTTCTGCATTGTTGCTCTTGTGAGTCACGTCAGACCTCTTGAAGAAGTGGGCCGCCCTGTGATGTAGCGGTTAGCACACCCGCCACACCCAGGTTCGAATCCTGGGCAAGGTGCAACAATTGAGCGCCTTTCCACCACTTTACACCTAGAATTATAGTTGGTAACTAGAATGTAAAATGATTCCCTTTTTGTACATATTCACTAGCGAATCGTGCCCAAGTCAAAACTATGTCTATGCGTAAACCCCAAACCCCCTAAAAGTAGTCTGGCCCGCTGTTACTCATTCTCTTATATTGGCTTCAGTAACGTTATGTCCAATGTGTTTAACTTCTGTGCTGTTAAATTTAAGTGGAAATCTTGTTTGGTTTGCATTGCTGCACTGTGTTAGATTGATAATATTCCAGCGGTTTGGTTGACATTTCTCCATACTGTTGATATTTTCTCTTCTTCTGGAACTTGTACACCCATTTCCCATGCACCTTTGTATCCAAGCCTCGTGTGATGCAAGTGCTCTTCTTTGTTATTCCCTTTCACCAAAATAAATGGTTGATAGTTGAATTCTTGTACTAACCCGCATATTGAAATTGAAATAAGTTTATTGAGGTAAAATACACACAAAGGGATGAGGTAGCTCAAGCTATTCTCACCCCGTTCAGTACATCGTGTTAATACATACATATACACACATCACAAACAATAAACATATTACCAAACATTCTGATATGGTGAGGTCGTAGCTACTGCGTTATGGTCGCTGTACCTCGGAGTTGCTCTAATTATGTTCTTTACCTGTGCTAGTCTCCTCTGTGGTATGCAAATGTCTGCATTCCTCCTCTTAGGTGCAAGTTTTGCAACTTCATCTGCAACGTCATTTCCTGGTATTCCTACATGACTTGGCACCCAGTTGGTATGTATGTAGTCTTTTCACCAGTTGTGTAGGTCATTATGAGCCTTTCATCCCATCTTTGCCAACTTGGAAGCCTATTGATCTAGTGTTTCATTATTGTGGTTAAGTTGTCTTAATGGAATTGTTATGATACACAATGTTTAATTATAGTGGTTAGTTGATATAATATTTCACTTGTACTGTTAGATCACAAGCTTTGCTATCTATGATTTATAATTTGTCTTAAAATTAGGAATGCTTGCTTACACAACTAGCAATTAACTAGGCAGTTAAATAAATTTATTTAGAAGTTCGAAATCATATTGAGTATTTGTGAATTTTATTTGCGTAAAATAGACAGAAAAGAGAATCATATGACGTAATAATAATAATAATTCACTGTGTCGGGGGACAGGCAGCCAGAGTGTCTTCATACACGTTAGGCTTATATCAAGAGCCTATCGTTAAACCCCCCCCCCCCCTTGCCCCACAAGGTCGAATTACTGACCCCGCCCAGGCTGCAACCCCCACAGCAAGCTAATTAACGCCTGGGTACCTACTTACTGCTAGGTGAACAGGCCCATTAGGTGATAGAAAATGCGCTCATCTATTTGTGTCCCGCCCGAGATTCTCGATTTTGAATCGAGAACGAACCCGACTGTATTACCGGGCCCCCGACTTGATAGACATAGATGAGTAGAATGACACATTAGACAGTTGAAGCTAACATTAAATGCAAATATAGACAGGGAAAACCCAAGACAAACAGACAGACATGGGACAGATATGCGAGACGTAAAAATAGACAATAGACGGGAGCGGAGAACCGCCCCTGTGGCGGGAGGAGGGCGACGTCTCGCCTCACACACCTGTCAATATCAGGAGCCTCCCGTGATCGGATTTCCTCCATGAGGACAATTTGACCAATTAACATCAGAAGCGTATGAAGTGTTGGTAGACATAAGGATAGCCAATATGCTCGTCAATAAACATGAAGCACCAGCAACCTATCCTCAGCTGACCACCAGCTTGGTAACCAGCTTCCCGGGTAACGCCAGACACGTATTTTAATCCATGGAGCACAATATGCTAAAGATTTCTCCACCCGGGATCTGGCCGTATCCAGAAGGAGTCTGGAGGCACAGAGATCAGAGCTAATTCAAGTTTTACATATAATCCGCATACAGTGGTGTCGGTGACGGAGCTCTCCACCAGATACTCCATAGATATATCATGTTATTTTATATATATATATGGGTTATTGGAATTTCTTGTGTATAGTGGAGGCTGAACTACAATAGTTAACAAGATGAGAGACCATGCAGACGTTGGGGCTCTTGGCCGTAAACACAACCAAGAAACCACACAGATACACAGTTGACAATGATATAATGTTTAAGTTGAGCAAGAGCAGAGCGAGATGACAGACATGGAGGCAAGCACTGTGCGAGGACAGCAAGTGGAACGAAGCAGAAGAGACAGTAGAGGTCAACTCCATTCACAGTTTCAAAAGCAGATATAACAAGATATAAAGTTACCGGCAGTCAATGCATTAGCAACGGACAATTGTAAAGGCGGGCCCCATGAGCTAAAGCTCAACCATGCAAACTTTGTGAGGAAGCGGGTGCACACACATGATTCATACTAAACTATATAAAATATGTACCCATTTCGACCCACACAGAGCTGATCGATGTAACTATAAGGTTGTGCGTCTACCTAACCTATACCAGCACTCACCTTACAAAATAATATAAAACTATATTAACAATAAAATAAATAAATAAAACATGTTATTAAATACCTTAAAATGGGTGGGCATTGTGGTACAATGAGGTGAGGGTTGTGTGACGCGTATTCCCACATAATGTTTGTCAAGTAGATGCGGCGCCATAAATAATCTAAGATGAAGCGACTGTCTCAAAGGTCAGCAGCATCCCCCCCGAGGGCACCCTCACGGGAGGCTGGCTAAGGTCACACCGCCATTTAAAGGTCCACAGTAGTAGCGTGAGGGATGAGACACACACACACACACAGAATGTGGGGTTGAGTGCGGGGGAAGGGAGGGAGGGTGAGAGCGTGCTGGGGGCGGGCTGGGGGAAGTGTACACTCACTGAGTCAGTCCAACTGCTGTACATCGTGTACCTCGCTCCAGTGAACACAAGCCTGACTCACATCACACCATCGGCTATTAAAATAGCGCGGAAGAAATTTTTATTACAACTGGTTCAATTATATATATATATATATATATATATATATATATATATATATATATATATATATATATATATATATATATATATATATATATCCGAACAAGCTTAAATGGTCCCCAAGCATATAGTCAAGAAAGTCAAGAAAAGTCAAGTCAAGAAAACGGTCAATTTAAAGTGTCCTCTCCTAACCTACCAGAGAACCCAAAACAGAAAACGGGACAGTACTTAACTTTCGCGACCAGTTTCCATTTTCTAGTACGACAATTTTTGGTCTCTGTAACGCATACGAGAGAAATGCGACGTTCTTCGAAGGACAGGTTGACCAATCCAGTCAGCCCGTGCTTCACAGCCAGCCGGCGTGACGGAATCACTCCCACAGGGTGGTTTGTGCCTCTGGATAGACGACCAAACCAACACACCTCTATCCACCTATTCTCTATCTTGAGATTTACAAATCCTTCTAGAACCTCACTCGCTTATCCATCTCCTGTCTCCATTCTATGTCTCACAGTATTGTGAGTTCTTACCTAGAACAATAATTACAGTTACTACTGATTTAGACTATCCAGTTATTTCTTCCCTATTGACCTTAAATGAATTGTGGGGTTCAGTCCCTGAGCCCATTATGTGCCTCTGAAACCCTTTCCACTACCGCCCACAAGATGGGTATGGGGTGCATAATAAATGAACTAAACTAATGACCTACTAAGAACCTTCTAGGATCAAATAATAGAGCAGTGGCCTGTTCTCTAGACCCGCAAGGTGATGGGACAGGTTAGGAAGCACCCTCTATGATCAAATATATTCGGCCCATAAACGTCTTATCAACGGAAGTCAAATTGTATTCTGTTTTTTTTTGT